CTTTACCCGCACAATATACAGGACTAAAAGATGACTTTACCCGCACAATATACACGACTAAAAGATGACTTTACCCACACAATATACAGGACTATAAAGATGACTTTACACACATTATACTGGACAATAAAGATGACTTTACCCACATAATATACACGACTAAAAGATGACTTTACCCGCACAATATACAGGACTAAAAGATGACTTTACCCACACAATATACACGACTAAAAGATGACTTTACCCACACAATATACACGACTAAAAGATGACTTTACCCACACAATATACAGGACTAAAAGATGACTTTACACACACATTATACAGGATTATAAAGATGACTTTACACACATTATACTGGACAATAAAGATGACTTTACCCACACAATATACACGACTAAAAGATGACTTTACCCACACAATATACACGACTAAAAGATGACTTTACACACACAATATACAGGACTATAAAGATGACTTTACCCACACAATATACACGACTAAAAGATGACTTTACCCACACAATATACACGACTAAAAGATGACTTTACCCACACAATATACAGGACTAAAAGATGACTTTACACACACATTATACAGGATTATAAAGATGACTTTACACACATTATACTGGACAATAAAGATGACTTTACCCACACAATATACACGACTAAAAGATGACTTTACCCACACAATATACACGACTAAAAGATGACTTTACCCGCACAATATACAGGACTAAAAGATGACTTTACCCGCACAATATACACGACTAAAAGATGACTTTACCCACACAATATACACGACTAAAAGATGACTTTACCCACACAATATACACGACTAAAAGATGACTTTACCCACACAATATACACGACTAAAAGATGACTTTACACACACATTATACAGGATTATAAAGATGACTTTACACACATTATACTGGACAATAAAGATGACTTTACCCACATAATATACACGACTAAAAGATGACTTTACCCGCACAATATACAGGACTAAAAGATGACTTTACCCACACAATATACACGACTAAAAGATGACTTTACCCACACAATATACACGACTAAAAGATGACTTTACCCACACAATATACACGACTAAAAGATGACTTTACCCACACAATATACACGACTAAAAGATGACTTTACCCACACAATATACACGACTAAAAGATGACTTTACCCACACAATATACACGACTAAAAGATGACTTTACACACACATTATACAGGATTATAAAGATGACTTTACACACATTATACTGGACAATAAAGATGACTTTACCCACATAATATACACGACTAAAAGATGACTTTACCCGCACAATATACAGGACTAAAAGATGACTTTACCCACACAATATACACGACTAAAAGATGACTTTACCCACACAATATACACGACTAAAAGATGACTTTACCCACACAATATACACGACTAAAAGATGACTTTACCCACACAATATACAGGACTAAAAGATGACTTTACACACACATTATACAGGATTATAAAGATGACTTTACACACATTATACTGGACAATAAAGATGACTTTACCCACACAATATACAGGACTATAAAGATGACTTTACCCATGCAATATATCTCACAAATGCGCACTATTCTGCACCTTCTAACAAAAAGCAGAGGGTGGGGGACACCATTAATGTAATTGAACAGGTAGCATATCAACAGAGAAGAGACTGTTTTATCAAACTGGTCATGAGTAAAAATGACATTAATTGAAATGGGATATGGAAGACCCATAACTGAACAATATGATCCAGAAATGTGCAGGAATTAGGGGGAGGGATGACACTCCATAATAAATTAAAATATAGATATAAACTTGTAATTGTTGCCACCTGATCTAGTCCCACGACTGGGTGTGTTTCTAAACAGTGAGACTGGTACTTGGGCTAGTTGGCAATCAAGGAGGTACGGCAAGATACTGAAATACTTTTGACCAGTGGCGTAGCGAGGTCGGGTGTCACCCGGTGCGGCACTTTATGGTGTCACCGCCCAGAGGTGTAGCGACCCTACCCAGGGACAAACTTTCAAATTTTCAATTTGCACCCCCCCCCCTAAGTTTCTCTCTATATTTTGCTATTTTTTGCCTTGGTGTCAGCCCCCTAAATGGTGTCAACCGGTGCGATCCGCAACCCCGTCCCCCCCTTCGCTACGCCTCTGCTTCTAACTGGAGTTGATAATAGGATGCAACTTAACGACATCTGTAACCAACTAACCAAGTAGTACAAAAAATTTACAATTTAAATACAGTTCTTAGATGACACAGCCATCCACAAATATTTGTTAGATGACACAGATATCCACAATTTTTGATAATGATAAGTAGATTATTTTAAACCCCACAAAAATGGTTTATTTTACAATAGTTACTGTCTATCAAAGGAAAAGCTTTTAACAGGAATAGTTTTTAATCTGATATAATGCAAGTATCAAAATTTCACAAACAAAATGTCAAATTATGAGAAAAACAATTACAGGGAAACTGAAAAAAATATCTAATTTGATTCAAATAGTCAACAGTTTGTTCTCCAAATGTTTGAAAAAGCTAATGTCTAGTAAGTATATACTTGTATGTCCACAATATATTTCCTCCCTACATAACTAATAAGATTAGTTGGGACCATAAAGTAATAGTTCAAATATTTTTCACAGACATGTCTATTATCACAGTTTCAATTTGAAGGTACAGAGTGCAACTTACATTTGGAAAAGTTATCCAGGCTTTGACTAGCGGTCAAACTACACAATATCATTAGGCTACATATTTTCCTGTCAGTGGGATTGCTTATTTTCACCCTTGATTTGCAGTTCACTTTTTAGTAAAATTATAGTCAGTATTTCAGGGAAAACCACTCTAATTTACAAATGGCAACTAATTAAATAAAAAATCTTGCTGTCAAACATTACTACTAATTTCTGACTTCCAGGCTACAGACTTTAGGCTTATTGATTATTGATATATCTGGACATTGTGTTTGGTTTGGTTTAGTATTCAATTATCTATTATATTTGATACAAGAAATATATCAAAATTTGAATTGTCTTTTTCCATTTCCAGTTGACTGAGAATAGCAGTATCTATTAGGGCTATTCACAGTTACACACTGTTTTTGATACATTTAATATTAAAACACCCCACAAAGCATGCAGTTGTGAGGTCAAATGGACATGCAGGTGGCTATTGTGCTGAATGGTGCGGGTTTGAATCCATCAAACGCTTTTATCTCTTTGACACTTATTATAGTTATAGGCCCCCATAGTATCAAAATTTTATTTTTTCTCATTATTCCAGAAAGGATTACTTTTGTTAATTTTTTTCATTTGTGACATGAATGCTGGCATGTTTGCAGAAAAAAAAGACGTCCCTAAAATTTTTGCTAAGAGAAAAAAACAACTTGGGAAAATTGTGATGGGAACTGTGCATAATTGTGCATTTTATGTGCATAAATTGATCATCTACGACCAACATGGCAGCAGTAGCCGATATGAATCTAAAGGCTAAACTTACACCATGATAATTTTTTTAGGCTAGTAATGTGCGAGAAAGGTGGCTCATTAATATGGCTTTAATACAAGTATATTATTATATTTTTGTGTCAAATAAAATAGATAACTGAATAATAAACCACAACCATGTCTAAATATATCAATAAAGGCCAGAAATTAACTTTATAGACAACCTTGTTTGTGAGCAAGATTTGCTATATAAACAGCTGCCATCTGTAAATTAGAGTGGTTTCCCTGTCAGGATCATCAATTTGTATTATTTTTTTTTAATTCTGTAAAATCATGATATAGCCTCGGAAATTATCTGGTAATGTTTGTTGAGTTTCTGTAACATTCGTTACTGTAAACCATAGTTTATTTGATCGTTGAAATAAAAATAGAGTCAAGTGCATTAAATTAATGTTTTAACTAAATTTAATGTTTAATTGACAAAAAATTAGCAACAATTAGTAAATCTAAATATTAATAAACCCGAGTGTAGTAATTAATGCTTTTTAAGAAACACAGAAAAAAGACCTTCAGAAGATTTGCGACAACTAGCTCTAGTTCTGTTAGTAAAATAAGACGATTAGATTTACTAAAGTTAAAAGTAGTAAGAAGAACTAGAACAATGTTTAGTAGCAGCAATAATTAGCACACACTTAAAATTTAAAATAATTAGAAATACAAAATAATTAGCAGAACAGTCTTTAAAATGCAACTAACATCAATCCTTGCACATTTTTAAACATTATGTAGATTTTAGGCCTATTAAAAATAATATGGTGGCAAATGAATGGTGGTTTACAGTATTTCCGGTGGTTTCAGGAACGGCTCGACAGACTACGCCATGGTTTTACTGTTTTTTACTGCTGTACAGTTCCGGAATAATAACTGACGCTATATCGTGATTTTACCAAAATTTCTCTACTAAAGCCTTAATTAATTGAAGTGGGATAAAGCATTTTTATTCTTATATTTTGCAATTTTTTGACTTGGTCTCTCCTTTCCCACCCCCCCCCCCCCCCCCATATTACTAAATAAATGGTGTCACTCATCAGTGCAGTCCACACTAACCTAAGATCCAGATTCTAATCTAGAATCTAGCAGTTAGCAGATGAGCTAGATCTAGAATATAGATCTTGACTCCTTGGGTCTAGATTCTAGTACTGTAGTTTAAGTTTAAGCGTAGTTTTAGTGATCTGGAATGTACTAATGTAGATCTAGATCTACAAAGGTCTAGATCTAGATTTAGCAGTAGCAACTTAGCAAGACAACCTAAAAATTGGACTAGATCTAGATCTACATTCGTAGTTCTAGATCTAGAAATCTAGATCTAGACTAGCTAGATCTAGATCTAGACTCTAGATCTAATCTAGCTAGATCTAGAATCTAGATCTAGATTACTACTTAGACTCTAGATCTAACTAATTAATTGGTGTTTTAAAAATACAAATAGGCCTCACTTACCATACTTTTCGGCTCTGCCTGACATAGTTTTCCTCTATTGATAGCACCGGTATTTCCTAGAACTTTAAAGAAATGCCAACAATAATTTTACTTGATTATTTCTTTGTGTCTAGAAAATACCGATTGTATGAAAGTGGCCATTTTGGGATCTAGAGATCTAGCACTGGAGCTAAATCGTGAATCCACTTCTGCTCAGTGCTTAACAGTATTGTGCCATACCGAATACTATCCAAAGATTGATAAATATTGCAAAATTATAGCATTTCAATGTATTGAGTTTAAGTGACATTAATTAATTTATTAATGAGAGTTGAAAATCTTCATATAAAACGTATTGATGAGAGTGGAAGGTATTTTCTTCCATTGGTGTTAGTGTAATTTATTCGATACTGGAAACGGTTACTGTAATTTTGGTATCGAGCAAGCATTGCACAAAATAAAGGATTTTTAAAATGTTGAATATAGGCCTAAGAGAATATCCTACAAAATTAAACAGATTTTTTTTTAACTTTACAATGACAAATATTTAGATTTAGATAAAAATTCTAGACTATAGATTCTGAGATGTGTCAAATTGCACTTTAAAAAATTAAAATCAAATATACTTTCATTCTTTAGTAGGCCTAAAAGAAAATGCGTAAGAGTTTTCATGAACGACCAAAGAAATAAAGTTGTCTTTTTAAATCGTGCAAAAATCCGAATTCTCGACGTTTTACACCTCCCTGAGTGGGAAAAAACTTAGTTTTGCAATTTTGTCTGTATGTCTAGGTGTGTGTGTGTGCGCGTGCGCGCGCGTGTGTGTCTAACTGTCTGTGAACACGATAACTTGAGTACCGCTTCAGTTATGTTGACGAAATTTAATGTATAGGTATTATATCAAATTGGCAGTTTTGTATGAACGTTTGAACGATTTCCGGTAACCGGAAGTCGTATTTTACTCTATTTTTTTTTATTCTAATAGCTAATAGCTTGAATACCGTTTCAGTAGACAAAGGTTTTTGTTTATTTGTTTTTTTTAAGGTAGGTATACGATCTTATTCTTATTGTCTTGATTCTATCGAACTTAGAGTGATTTTCGGTAAAAGGAACTTTGACTTGGGGGTCATCCATAAATGACGTCACACTTTTGGTTACGATTTTTACCCCCCCCCCCCCTCCCCTCCGTCACACGTCGTCACAAAAAGCTAGACCCCCCCCCCTAAAATGACGTCACACCTCAACCTACAACCCCCCCCCCCCTCAAAATTGCAGTTGAATTTTTTTTAAACATCGATATTTTTCCAAAATCTTGTCTAAACTATTACAAAACAGTTATCTAAAACGCGAAATAACGTCTAAAATTCATTTTCTAACATTGCTTTTTTATAATGCAAAAATGTGACGTCGCAACATCTGATCCCCCCCTCCCCCTCATCACACATCGTCACAAAATTACGGACCCCCCCCCTCCCCCCTACGAGTGTGACGTCATTCATGGATGACCCCTTGACGCTATTTCAGATTTCTGAAAATAAATTACTTTTACCAGACCGATTTCTTAAAAACTTTTCACGCAGTTCTAGACTCGATGACAATGCATCGCGACATTTAATTTGGCTGAATTATGCTAAATTTAACTTTTTAAAATTATTCAATCTTTCCTACCCACGCAGATCTTCCCAGCTTGGTAAAACCTGCCAGAAGTTTGCATTTCCGCTGGTATAGCTGTGGGGGTCGTCGGGATACACCAGTTGCCAAGACACTACGAGGCTATAGTACTGGGCGCGCCTTCAACTCACTACGCCCGATATGGAATTGCACAACCTTGTCACCCCAGAGCAAGATAAGAATCTTCAAAACAAATGTCAAGGCTGCATTGTTTTATATTTCGTAGACCTGGAGGGCTACCAAGAAAAATTGAGACAGGCTGCAGTCATTCACAAACAGGTGTTTACGACACATCCTCAAAATAGGATGGCCAGACAAAATATCCAATCAAGAATTGTGACAACACCAAACAACAGCCCATTGACAACTTAATTGACAAGGACATTACTTTAAGTCCTTTACTCTAAAATTTTAAATAGTTGCATGACTAAAATCAATTGCTCACCAAATGAACATGATTCTACAACTATAATACAGCATATAATGTGTATAGCAAAAACTTTTCTAAAAAATTAATTAATAGTTTTAAACATTTCTAAATTTACTGTAAACAATTTTCCAAAACCATGCATACAGCAATTTAAACTTGGCATAAAGTTTCCTTACGTAAAATCACATGTCTAAAATCTAAAACGTTCTAATGCTACTTAATTTTTTTTAGAAAATTTCAGTTACTCCAGATTGTTCTGACTTCAAATGATCTTTAAAGAGCACAAAAAGCAGTAGCTAATTAAACAATTATTATCTGAACTGCACGACCAATATTTTAGTTATATGCAGGCTATTATTCAACATGTTCCACCTATTAGATTTACTTTTCCTTTTAGAATGAAAATCGTCACGCTTTTTTTGTGTGACTATTTTACCCCCCTCCCCTCCGTCACGCATCGTCACAAAAAAACCCTTCTAAATTGCATTTGAATTTTTCTTAAAACATCGATATTTTTTTCCAAAATCTTGTCTGAACTCTGTCAAAATAGAGTCTTTTAATCAATTCCTATTAAAACAGTTTTATAAAACGCGAAATTACGTCTAAAATTCGTTTTCTAACACTGCTTTTTACTTTCTCGTATATACGTAGTATAGAGAAAGTATTGTAATCGTGCAAAAAAAAAAAAAATCGAAATTTTTACAAATCTCGACGTTTTACACCTCACTGATACGGAAAAACATAATTTTGCAATCTTGTCCGTATGTCTGTGTGTGTGTGTGTGTGTGTGTCTGTGTGTCCCTCTGTAAACACGATAACTTGAGTACCTTTACAGCTAAGTTGATGAAATTTCATATATAAGTATTATATCAAAATCGTAGATCCGTATCAACTTTTGAGCGATTTCCGACAACCGGAAGTGGTACTTTTTCTACTTTGAATTTTTCAAAAGCCTATAACTTGAGTACTATTTCAGATAGATAAATGAAATTTCACATGTAAGTAAAAGATCTAATTCTCTACCTTCTGTTAAATTTTGAGTAATTTCCGTTGACCGGAAGTAGTAATTTACGCTACTTCCGATTTCTCAAAAAACTAATGTAAATTTTTAAAGTACTAATACTATTGCGCACTATTATACACACCTTATTAGGCGTTCGCTTGGTGCGCAATGGTTTTTTACTGAGATTCTATTCTATTTTTAAAAGTTTCAGTATTTAAAATGGATTAAAAATCATAACTATATCCCCAGTTACCATCCCCTGTTGTTTTATATAAGAATATTCGAGAAAGTTTAGGGGAGATCACTCCCGGTTTATTAATAATGCAAAAGTGTGACGTCGCACGATCTGAAGCAATAACATACAGCTAGTATATAAATAAATAAATAAATAAATATAAAATGGTGGAAAAAATCTGACCCCCCCCCCCCCCCCCACCATGAGATGATCCTGGCTACACCACTGCTGAAGGTGGCCAGGTTATGCATCTCTTTGATTATTTTCAGCAACAAGGCCTAAATGTTGGAAAACTGCAGCCATTGATTTCCAATTAAACTTGTTTGTGTCAAATTATTTATTAAAAAGTTTGCATCATACACTGACTTTGTTTTATGTGCTGTTTTATAGCTCCCTGATTACAACTACTATGGTAACATAAAATTGATGTGTAGGGCCTATGTATTATAATTTCTCCTTTTGGCGAGTTGTTTCGTCAATTTCCCATTGTCTGGGTATTAATGCCCTTAAATAAAAGCTTGTAAAAACAATCAAATCATTTCAATTGCATTGGAAGTGTTATCCTTCTTCACGTCTTTTTTTTCGCCCTGTCGTAGGGGAAGTAAAATAGTTTTGTAAAGGGTTAGAATATATGAGAAAGTTTAAGGGAGATCACACCCACTTTTTAAAAATGTTACATTACACTATCAAGGCAAGATAGATATAAATACGCAATTAAATCCTTTATTTTCTCAACGTTGACTTTTGCTGGCACCCAGTGTTTCTTCAAATAAAAGTATATATCTCTATATAAATTCCATTTCGTTCGGGGGTAGACTTTCTTCGAAGAGACTGGAAGAAACTCGGCTGTAATTCAGTGGCGGAACTAGAAAAAAAGGGCCACCCCGCAAAATTTTTTTTTTGGGCCCCATATATATATATATATATATATATATATATATATATATATATATATATATATATATATATATATATATATATATATATATATATATATATATATATGACCCTATATACGAAATACGAACATAGAATACTCAATACGGGCATGATCGCAATTTGAAAAATATTAAACATTCTTAGTTTTTGATTTTATTAAAACATGTTAAAACAACACATCAATTGTGTGAGTGCTATTGGTCTGTTTTGAAATTCTCTGTTTTAATGTCTGGCATAATGCTTCCTTAATATGGCTGGTAAGTGGGTCACCATCCAGTTCTACGGTTTTATTGAGCCGAGGAAGTGGTTGACAAGTCGGTCAAAAGAATATGAAGCATGAAAGCTTTGTATGTGTAATGGTTTCTCGCCTTATGTTTATTTTTATGTTTTTTTAGCATTTATATTATTAGATTGTAATACATTTCCTTTTTATACTATGTTATTCTTTATTATTTATTTTTTAAATAATAGGAGAAGTGATTGCTTTTTAATTTGTTTAGTGCAAATCTATTAAAAGTTTCTTAAGAGCACACATATTTGACTATTTAAAAAGGGAAATAAGTCATGGAAGTGGTTTGAACGGTTGCCTATCTTTCACACTACAAGTCATGTAGCCTACATATTTTTTTCCTTTACGAAACAGCGTGTGTTATTATTGTAGAACATAACTACTGTATTAGATCTTTTTGTTACTAGAAAATTATTTTTTTAACTATTAAAAAATTGATTATGGTCGGCCATGGGCCCCTAAACGGCCTGGGCCCCCCCGCATTGCGGGGTCTGGCGGCACTGTAGTTCCGCCCCTGCTGTAATTAGGTGAGAAGTCAAACGGCCGTGTAATATATTGAGAATTGTGAAGTCAAGGGAACTCACTCTTCTTGTATTAGTATTATATTTATGTTGTTTTTGAGTGATGCCCCTTGTATTATTGTTTTGTACTTCCTGTTCCTGTTTCCATCATGGTGGCTGAGGCCCAATAAAGTTCTATATACAAACAGCATGGTTTCTATTGTCAGTGTTTCAATCTACCTCAGGCCGAAATATAATGTTTAAAACATGTTTCTTTAATTCATTCAAAGTCGTTTGATGCTTTATCAAACACTAAGGACCGGTACTCTGCTGGTATAAGTCTCAACTCTCAAATAGAAAACACAACTATTTTTTTAAACATAATTTTTTATTTTAGAGAAGTAGTTTTCTCAAGCCAGATTAAGCTTACAATACACAGAACATTGTCAAATGAAATCATACAAATGTATGCTCACATATGGTACATATTGGCATAATTCCTCCTTGTACAAAGACACAGCTATTTTTTTTTCTCCATACAAAAGTCAATTCAACTTCAACTCACTGTTTTAGTCAGCAGTACAGACCATTTTGCCATTTAGTTTACAACTACAAGTGATACAAGTGTAGGACAATGGATTTGTTTTTGGTTTGTTAATTTAGTTTATTAGTAAAATAAGCGTCAATATGCTACTAAAGCATGACCAGGTAAACCATTTGGTAAAAAACATCAGACAAAACTTGTCACTTGTATGTACTGACAGCTGACAGTTTTCTCATCTTTGAGTTCCTTAAACATACAAATGAGAGAAGTAAAACACATGTATACAGTAGTAGGCTATCAGCAATACTAATTAATATTATAGATTGTATTTGATAGACGAAAACAATGGAACACGCACGATACTTAAATTTGGAAGTAGCAATCGGCAAGTGATTTTGTCATTGCTTCAATTGATATAGTTTCGGTAAAGTGATTACATTACTAATCTAATGATGAAATTCATATGAAAAATAGCACCATCAAATAAATCCTTTTAAAAAGTTTACTGATATTTTTTGCTGTTACCCATTAGAGGCACACACCGGTACATTTTCTCCTGTTGAAAAAGACTTTAGCAACGCCATTATAAAGTTAGCTCGACAGGCGACAGCTGACACAAAAACTTTTGTGACTTTTTTTCCGATAAAATTTTTCCATTGTGACTTTTTTTTCCTAGCAAAAACTGACTTTTTTTTCTGTTTTTTTTTCCTGTGACTTTTTTTCCCCGTTCACCCTACTACTCCCCTACCACCACGACCCTACTACCACACTACTAGTACCACCACCACGACTACACTACCACACTACTAGTACTACCACCACGACTACACTACTAGTACTTACTCTGTAATTATGGCCAGCAGATTGGTAAACATGTTTATGCTTGTTTTTTCTTCTAAATAAATCATAACCTAGTTGTACTCTATAACTTATAACTACAACCAACGTCTCTGTAGTATTGTTAAATACCAATCTTTGGGCAATATCTCATCCTTTTGATTATTTTCATTAATTTCTTTTAAAATGGAGCCAATTAATGAATGATTTGATGTGCACGTTTATTATACTATAACTCCCCTTTCGTGCCCTCGTATTATTAGAGGCGTAGCGGCCCTTCCCGGCGCCCGGGGACAAACTTTTAATTTGATTTTCCAACCCATTTTGGCGCCCCCTATGGACAGCGCCCCAGGCGACCGCCTAGTTCGCCTTATAGGTAGCGCCGGCCCTGACAATACCCAAACTTGATATGGCACTGGTTTCCCGCGTTCGTTTTATTCATATGGATTTTTGTAATTATATTATTCATTTTCAATCAATTCCTTCTAAAACTTAATCATTGCTATGTATACCCTTATTTTACTAATAACTGAGAGAAGAATCGCTTTTTAATTTGCTTATTACACAATTGAATTGAGCTTTATCATGGGATCCTATTAGACAGTTTGGAGAAGGGCAATAATTCATGGAAAGTTTTAAGGTTGAACACCTTCACACTACAGTTCGTGTCATGTTATTTTTTTAATTTACAAAACTACTAGTCTACCATGGTGCAAAACAAATGTATTTTAGTCGGATTCCGGAACGGTCTGCCCCCCCCCCCCCTGGTCTGGCGGTATAATAGTTCCGCCCTTGACGGAATTTAAACGTCTTCATCTAACATTTGAGAGTGTGTAGAACTCAAAATGTTGTAATGTTCTAGTTCAGGGGTCTCAAAATTTTTCAGCCCGAGGGCCCATTAGCTATCAAATATAAGATCGGGGGCCAGAGTTTCTTCCAGGCATCTTCTTCGTGGTGGGGGAGCCCCCCCCCCCCCCCCCCCCCCCCCCAAAGAACGTCTCTTGAATGAAGGAACTTTGAAACAAAAGTTGTAATATTAGGTAAGTCTCCCTTAGGCAAAAGTTGTAATATTAGGAAAGTCTCCCTTAGGCAAATACTCATAAAACCCACCCGCCCTTATTTTAACTTGTCTCTAAGGCAGAGGCGTAGCGAGGGGGGGGGGGCATATGTCCTCGGGCGCCGACCTTAGGGTGCGCCAAAATGGGTTGGAAAAACAAATTGAGAGTTCGAGGGGGGTGTGCAAATCGAAAGTTTGTCCCCGAGCGCCGGGAAGGGTCGCTACGCCTCTGCTCTAATGAGGTCATTTGCTGGGCAACTGGCCACATTTTCTTCAATGGTAAATTGCACCCAATGTTACATTTTCGATTTTAAAAAAAAAATGTTTCCTCAGCCACCTCCAACAAACTTTTTTTTTCCGTGGACAAAACGACCTCGCGGGCCGCCGGCCGTAGTTTGGAGACCCTTGTTCTAGTTCTATAGAGCAGCTACCAATGATGGAACAGCTAAAGCTATACTAGTGACGGAACAGCTAAAGCTATACTAGTGACGGAACAGCTAAAGCTATACTAGTGACCAGAGTTTCTTCCAGGCATCTCTTCGGGGGGGCGAAGCCACCCCGAAAATTTTTTACCGCCCCCCCCCCCCCCCCCCCCCGAACGAAACTTATATAATTTATATAGAAAATATATACTTTTAACAGTGTCCGCCCCCCCGAAAAAAGTTTACCGCCCCCCCCGAAGATTTCAAGTGCCCCCCCGGAGAAAAAAGTCTGGAAGAAACACTGCTGGAACAGCTAAAGCTATACTAGTGACGGAACAGCTAAAGCTTTCAGTTAAATATAGTTGCCTATAAGAAACAAAACAAGCTGTTCATGCTAAAAAGCCACATTTTATTGGAGATACACTGAATCAGTGTGAATAAACTCTCTCATGCAGATATCAAGGTTATGGATGTCACGACAAACTTGTAGATCTAGGTGTCAAACGAGTGCCTTTAACAATAGTAGATGTTGAATTGCATGCACTTATTTGTTGAAGCTCGGGTGGAGATGTTCTACAACTGTAATGTGTATTGTGTAACACTGCTAACAGAGCTTTTTAAGCAGGGCTAAACCTAAACTTTTGAATTAAAAGGGCTAAAACTAAACTTTTGAATTAAAAGGGCTAAAACTAAACTTTTGAATTAAGCATGGCTAAACTTAAACTTTTGAACTAAGAAGAGCTAAACCTAAACTTTTGAACTAAGAAGGGCTAAACTTTAGAACTAAGAAGAGCTAAAATTTTGAATTAAGCAGGGCTAAACCTTAACTTTTTATGCAGGGCTAAGAGTTAACTTTTCCTGCAGAGCTTTAGAATAATAGGTGATCTACAGATAATCAGGAGGGAAAGGGGAAACTATCAGTGGGAAATATCTGTTGTTTTATTTTAAACTTACAATGACTAGGAATTTTTTTAAAAAAAGGAAATGCGCTAATACCAGCCAACAAAGGAAAAAACAACAACAGAAAGTGAGAAGAAAAAAAATGAGGCTACACCAAGAGAAAGTGACATGTAATAATATTAGAAGCATACCAACTATACCAAGAGAAAGTGACATGTAATAATGTTAGAAGCATACCAACTACACCAAGAGAAAAAGACATGTAATAATATTAGAAGCATACCAACTACACAAAGAGGAAGTGACATGTAATAATGTTAGAAGCATACCAACTATACCAAGAGAAAGTGACATGTAATAATGTTAGAAGCATACCAACTACACAAAGAGAAAGTGACATGTAATAATGTTAGAAGCATACCAACTACACAAAGAGAAAAAGACATGTAATAATGTTAGAAGCATACCAACTACACCAAGAGAAAGTGACAAGTAATAATGTTAGAAGCATACCAACTACACCAAGAGAAAGTGACAAGTAATAATATTAGAAGCATACCAACTACACCAAGAGAAAAAGACATGTAATAATGTTAGAAGCATACCAACTACACCAAGAGAAAGTGACAAGTAATAATGTTAGAAGCATACCAACTACACCAAGAGAAAGTGACAAGTAATAATGTTAGAAGCATACCAACTACACCAAGAGAAAGTGACAAGTAATAATGTTAGAAGCATACCAACTACACAAAGAGAAAAAGACATGTAATAATGTTAGAAGCATACCAACTACACCAAGAGAAAGTGACAAGTAATAATGTTAGAAGCATACCAACTACACAAAGAGAAAAAGACATGTAATAATGTTAGAAGCATACCAACTACACCAAGAGAAAGTGACAAGTAATAATGTTAGAAGCATACCAACTACACAAAGAGAAAAAGACATGTAATAATGTTAGAAGCATACCAACTACACCAAGAGAAAGTGACAAGTAATAATGTTAGAAGCATACCAACTACACCAAGAGAAAAAGACATGTAATAATGTTAGAAGCATACCAACTACACCAAGGGAAAGTGACAAGTAATAATGTTAGAAGCATACCAACTATACCAAGAGAAAGTGACATGTAATAATGTTAGAAGCATACCAACTACACCAAGAGAAAAAGACATGTAATAATGTTAGAAGCATACCAACTACACCAAGAGAAAGTGACATGTAATAATGTTAGAAGCATACCAACTACACCAAGAGAAAGTGACAAGTAATAATGTTAGAAGCATACCAACTACACCAAGAGAAAGTGACATGTAATAATGTTAGAAGCATACCAACTACACCAAGAGAAAGTGACATGTAATAATGTTAGAAGCATACCAACTACACCAAGAGAAAGTGACATGTAATAATGTTAGAAGCATACCAACTACACCAAGAGAAAGTGACATGTAATAATGTTAGAAGCATACCAACTACACCAAGAGAAAGTGACATGTAATAATGTTAGAAGCATACCAACTACACAAAGAGAAAGTGACATGTAATAATGTTAGAAGCATACCAACTACTCTGTTGGGTGACTGGGTTCGACACCGTTGGCATGCAGCGTGAAGGTTTCCTTCAAATACAAAACATCATGGCAACTAGAGAAAGAGCTCAGTCCATCAAACTATTTATTTACATAAAGAAAGTACTTTGTTTTCCTCAGTGTGCTAATAAATATCTAACAAGCACATGTGCTAATAAATATTTGTAACAAGGACTAAGTATGAACATCTTTCTCTAGTTGCTGTGGAGTACAGGTTGCATACTAAATGTTAATCAATGGAATACTTACTTGTGAGTCTGCCCAAGTTGTTAATTTAGTTAGGAAGAAGAAAACAATGAATTAAATATTGTTAGACATAAATGATAAAATGTTAGCTTTGACATGCTAGAAAACCAATTTTTTAGTATACTAAAAGAACAAAATTAAGAAAAATGTGACTTTAATTAAGTGTGAAAGGAAAAAGTATTAAAAACAAGTAATTGTAGCTGTGCGAGCAAAACTAAATTAAAAACAATGCAATTTTTAGTATGCTAGAAAAATACATTAAAAAATTAAATCTTTAATGTACTAGAAAAACCCATTTTAAAAATTATTTTTTTTAATTGGAAGAATAAAATGTTAGTGTAAACTTAATGTGGCCAAATCGCATAGGCGATCAATGTCCATTTCAAGTAGTTTGGACAGGGTAACTACAAAATTATATAAGTACAAAGTGAGGGTCTAACCCCTTTCCAATTCTCAATAAGTAAATCAAAATGTTTCTTAATACACATTTGTGACTTTTTTTCTTTTAAATTTTTTCCTTTGTGACTTTTTTCCTAGCAAAACTGATTTTTCTCTGGGTTTTTTTTCTGTGACTTTTTTCTGTTTTTTCCCCCCTGTTCACCATTTCCAGCACTAGCTTAGTTTCTGGGTACATGAGCTTTGATTTTCATTATAAAATGGCTGAATATTTTCTCAGTATTTTTACTATGAAAATGCCTGTCAGAAGCTGCAGATGGTCCCGCTAGATTTGAAAATGAACCAAGGGCTCTTTATTTGATTTAGTCCAGTGGGAAAATAAAGAGATGACTAGACATTATGTTTGTGGCCTTCATTTTAGTCATTGAGAAATTTAATTTTGATTTTTGTGTGTGTAAATTTTGATCGACTGGTATGTCTTATTTTTACTGCTATTTTGGGAGTGAGTGCAAAGTGAAAGTCATGAATTAAAAAATTTCTGGAAAATCACTTTTCAAAACAAGCTTCCAGTACTTATAAAGCTATATATTTTCTAAAAGACAATATCTTCTAGTATCTAAAAGTGTAGTTGTTTTTTTTTGAACAACTTATGGGGGTTATAGGGTGGGTTGAATACAGATGTTGAGTAGTCTAATTTTACTCATCCTTAAAATATCAAGGTCAATATCTGCACACACAAGATAAAAACAAATCATTTTGTGTATCAAAATAAAATGTATACATGTAAGGGTCTCTGATTACATTCAACATACAGTTTGACATTTTGAACAAACATGAAAAACTCTTAATAAAGTGGCTTGTTGCCATAGAACAACTGCATTTGACTTTGAGGGTTCAGAAAAAATACAGTAAGAATTAGGTAGATCTCTACCAGTTAATGCATGGGTTGTACCCTGACTTCATGGCTAATTCAGGAAGATGCAAAGTGGCAGTTTTGGGAGGATGGAATGGTAATGGATGGATGCCAAGAGGCAGTGTATTGAAAAATGGGGTGGTAATGGACAGATGCAAAGAGGCAGTGGATTGAAAAATGGGGTGGTAATGGACGGATGCAAAGAGGCAGTGGATTGAAAAATGGGGTGGTAATGGACGGATGCAAAGAGGCAGTGGATTGAAAAATGGGGTGGTAATGGACGGATGCAAAGAGGCAGTGGATTGAAAAATGGGATGGTAATGGACGGATGTAGAGAGGCAGTGTATTGAAAAATGGGGTGGTAATGGACGGATGCCAAGAGGCAGTGTATTGAAAAATGGGGTGGTAATGGATGGATGCAAAGAGGCAGTGTATTGAAAAATGGGGTGGTAATGGGATGCAAAGAGGCAGTGTATTGAAAAATGGGGTGGTAATGGGATGCAAAGAGGCAGTGTATTGTTTTAGCGCTGGCGTAAGAAATTTCTCTGTTTGGCATCTTACAGAAACTTATAGTTATATGTTAACTAGACCAGTTTTAGCGCTGGCGTAAGAAATTTCTCTGTTTGGCATCTTACGGAAACTAGAACGCCGCTCTCTGGCCTTCTGTGATGCCATGGCCTTCTGGGAGATTTTGTTTCTGTTTCTGATTGTCTTTTGTTCTTCACGTTCTTTCTCCTGCAAGAAACCAAACATTTCCCATCAACAACTTCAAAACTTGAAAGGGGATATGCTTCTTTTTTTCTATTTTGTACATTTAAGATTTTAAGCCTTTAGACTACTTTTACCATGTTTGGCACATAAAAGTATATAACAGCAAAAGGGGGTCTGAAAACTATTTCAGTCATCATAGAAATTAAAAAACAACATTAGGCCTGTCAGAGAGTACAAATCGTGTTACCCTCACTGTCTGTCTCTAGCCTATAAAAGAAAATGTTGCTCTCACTGTCTGTCTGTAGTCTATAAAAGAAAATGTTGCCCTCACTGTCTGTCTGTAGTCTATAAAAGAAAATGTTGCCCTCACTGTCTGTCTGTAGTCTATAAAAGAAAATGTTGCCCTCACTGTCTGTCTGTAGTCTATAAAAGAAAATGTTGCCCTCACTGTCTGTAGTCTATAAAAGAAAATGTTGCCCTCACTGTCTGTAGTCTATAAAAGAAAATGTTGCCCTCACTGTCTGTAGTCTATAAAAGAAAATGTTGCCCTCACTGTCTGTAGTCTATAAAAGAAAATGTTGCCCTCACTGTCTGTCTGTAGTCTATAAAAGAAAATGTTGCCCTCACTGTCTGTCTGTAGTCTATAAAAGAAAATGTTGCCCTCACTGTCTGTCTGTAGTCTATAAAAGAAAATGTTGCCCTCACTGTCTGTCTGTAGTCTATAAAAGAAAATGTTGCCCTCACTGTCTGTCTGTAGTCTATAAAAGAAAATGTTGCCCTCACTGTCTGTCTGTAGTCTATAAAAGAAAATGTTGCCCTCACTGTCTGTCTATAAAAGAAAATGTTGCCCTCACTGTCTGTCTGTAGTCTATAAAAGAAAATGTTGCCCTCACTGTCTGTAGTCTATAAAAGAAAATGTTGCCCTCACTGTCTGTAGTCTATAAAAGAAAATGTTGCCCTCACTGTCTGTAGTCTATAAAAGAAAATGTTGCCCTCACTGTCTGTAGTCTATAAAAGAAAATGTTGCCCTCACTGTCTGTCTGTAGTCTATAAAAGAAAATGTTGCCCTCACTGTCTGTCTGTAGTCTATAAAAGAAAATGTTGCCCTCACTGTCTGTAGTCTATAAAAGAAAATGTTGCCCTCACTGTCTGTAGTCTATAAAAGAAAATGTTGCCCTCACTGTCTGTAGTCTATAAAAGAAAATGTTGCCCTCACTGTCTGTCTGTAGTCTATAAAAGAAAATGTTGCCTTCACTGTCTGTAGTCTATAAAAGAAAATGTTGCCCTTACTGTTTGTTGCCAGCGTATCATCAATGCCCTTTCTTTGTCACCAAAAGGCACGGAGTACTTGATCATCTGCAGACGTCGGCTTTCTGTGGTCACTGTTTGTTCCACAGCTAGGACTATGTTTGCCCACTTTAAAAAAATGTCACAAAACCAGTTAAATACCACCTACCCTTCTAAACATGTCAAATATCACCTGCCTGTCTAAACCTGTCGAATACCACCTACCTGTCTAAACCTGTCAAATACCACCTACCTGTCTAAACCTGTCAAATACCACCCACCTGTCAAATACCACCTACCTGTCTGAACCTGTCAAATACCACCTACCTGTGTAAACCTGTCAAATACCACCCACCTGTCTAAACATGTCAAATACCACCCACCTGTCTAAACCTGTCAAATACCACCCACCTGTCTTAACCTGTCAAATACCACCCACCTGTCTAAACCTGTCAAATACCACCCACCTGTCTAAACCTGTCAAATACCACCCACCTGTCTTAACCTGTCAAATACCACCCACCTGTCTAATACCACCCACCTGTCTAAACCTGTCAAATACCACCCACCTGTCTAAACCTGTCAAATACCACCCACCTGTCTAAACCTGTCAAATACCACCCACCTGTCTTAACCTGTCAAATACCACCCACCTGTCTAAACCTGTCAAATACCACCCACCTGTCTTAACCTGTCAAATACCACCCACCTGTCTAAACCTGTCAAATACCACCCACCTGGCTAAACCTGTCAAATACCACCCACCTGTCTAAACCTGTCAAATACCACCCACCTGTCTAAACCTGTCAAATACCACCCACCTGTCTAAACCTGTCAAATACCACCCACCTGTCTAAACCTGTCAACTACCACCCACCTGTCAAATACCACCCACCTGTCTAAACCTGTGAAATACCCCCCCCCCCCCCCCCCACCTGTCTAAACCTGTCAAAAACCACCCACCTGTCTAAACCTGTCAAATACCACCCACCTGTCTAAACCTGTCAAATACCACCCACCTGTCTTAACCTGTCAAATACCACCCACCTGGCTAAACCTGTCAAATACCACCCACCTGTCTAAACCTGTCAAATACCACCCACCTGTCTAAACCTGTCAAATACCACCCACCTGTCTAAACCTGTCAAATACCACCCACCTGTCTAAACCTGTCAAATACCACCTACCTGTGTAAACCTGTCAAATACCACCCACCTGTCTAAACCTGTCAAATACCACCCACCTGTCTAAACCTGTCAAATACCACCCACCTGTCTAAACCTGTCAAATACCACCCACCTGTCTAAACCACTCCTTCTGTGTGTTTGTGACCAGCTCATAAGTGCGGCCCATCATGGCAATCAGCATGTTGACCAATAGTAGAGTCACCAGGATCATGTAGACAACAAAAATTACCTACCAGATTGGGAGCATTAGAAAAATTATTGGATTGATTTCAATGGTTTTAATATAAATATTGAAAGTGATTATTTACAATTGTATTAAAATGAATATAAAATGTCTTTAATTGATTGAAAAAGTGTTCAACTACCATAAAAACATAGTTCAAGATTTATCTAACTTTTAAAAATTGTAATCAAAATGAAGTTCAATGTATTATTCTAAGTTTGTTCTATTTATGGGATTAGAATGTATGATAGTCAAAATATCTTTCAAACATTGAATGGACTAAAATAAGAATTTAGAAGGCGGGGATGGTTAAAGCAAAGACTATCTTTGTCGATTCTTGATACAGGTTATATAACCCAAGTAAATACAATTCTAAACAACATGACATTTGGTAACACCAGTGGCAGACATGACATTTGGTAACCACAGTAAATGGCAGACATGACATTTGGTAACCACAGTAAATGGCAGACATGACATTTGGTAACCCCAGTAAATGGCAGACATGACATTTGGTAACACCAGTGGCAGACATGACATTTGGTAACCATAGTAAATGGCAGACATGACATTTGGTAACCCCAGTAAATGGCAGACATGACATTTGTTAACACCAGTGGCAGACATGACATTTGGTAACCATAGTAAATGGCAGACATGACATTTGGTAACCACAGTAAATGGCAGACATGACATTTGGTAACCCAATAAAATGACAGACATGACATTTGGTACCAACTTTGATGAGATGACTAAAAGGCGAGGGCAAGAGAGCAAATTTTTGGTAGAGGTCATCAAAGGCTCCCACTGACATGGCAAATATCCCCAGTAAAGCATTGAAGGGCTGGGAAAACACTCCATTCATACAGCGAAATGGGATGTACAACGCTGGGAAACAAACCAAAAAACAAGCACAAAAAATTAATTTTAAAAAGCACACAAAAAATGTAACAAAGTATTAAAAACTGTAACAAAGTATTAAAAAATGTAACAAAGTATTAAAAAAATGTAACAAAGTATAAAAAAATGTAACAAAGTATTAAAAATGTAACAAAGTATTAAAAATGTAACAAAGTATTTAAAAATGTAACAAAGTATTAAAAAATGTAACAAAGTATTAAAAAATGAAACAAAGTATTAAAAATGTAACAAAGTATAAAAAAATGTAACAAAGTATAAAAAAAATGTATAAAAGTGTAATAAAAAAAACAAGCAGCACATCAAGTCTAAAATTGTCACAAACCTCTACGCAAGGAAGTTCTGGCTAGGACATGGGTAATGGGCTAACTTTAATTGGGTAATGGGCTAACTTTAATGGGCTAACTTTAATTGGGTAATGGGCTAACTTTAATTGGGTAATGGGCTAACTTTAATTGGGTAATGGGCTAACTTTAATTGGGTAATGGGCTAACTTTAATGGGCTAACTTTAATTGGGTAATGGGCTAACTTTAATTGGCTAACTTTAATTGGGTAATGGGCTAACTTTAATTGGGTAATGGGCTAACTTTAATTGGGTAATGGGCTAACTTTAATTGGATAATGGGCTAACTTTAATTGGCTAACTTTAATTGGGTAACTTTAATTGGGTAATGGGCTAACTTTACTTGGGTAATGGGCTAACTTTAATTGAGTAATGGGCTAATTTTAATTGGGTTATGGGCTAACTTAAATTGGCTAACTTTAATTGGGTAATGGGCTAACTTTAATTGGGTAATGGGCTAACTTTAATTGGGTAATGGGCTAACTTTAATTGGGTAATGGGCTAACTTTAATTGGGTAATGGGCTAACTTTAATTGGGTAATGGGCTAACTTTAATTGGGTAATGGGCTAACTTTAATTGAGTAATGGGCTAACTTTAATTGGGTAATGGGCTAACTTTAATTGGCTAACTTTAATTGGGTAATGGGCTAACTTTAATTGGCTAACTTTAATTGGGTAATGGGCTAACTTTGATTGGGTAATGGGCTAACTTTAATTGGATAATGGGCTAACTTTAATTGGGTAATGGGCTAACTTTACTTGGGTAATGGGCTAACTTTAATTGAGTAATGGGCTAATTTTAATTGGCTTATGGGCTAACTTTAATTGGCTAACTTTAATTGGGTAATGGGCTAACTTTAATTCAGTAATGGGCTAACTTTAATTGGGTAATGGGCTAACTTTAATTGAGTAATGGGCTAACTTTAATTGGGTAATGGGCTAACATTAATTGGCTAACTTTAATTGGGTAATGGGCTAACTTTAATTGGGTAATGGGCTAACTTTAATTGGGTAATGGGCTAACTTTAATTGGGTAATTGGCTAACTTTAATTGAGTAATGGGCTAACTTTAATTGGGTAATGGGCTAACTTTAATTGGGTAATGGGCTAACTTTAATTGAGTAATGGGCTAACTTTAATTGGGTAATGGGCTAACTTTAATTGAGTAATGGGCTAACTTTAATTGGGTAATGGGCGAACTTTAATTGCGTAATGAGCTAACTGTAATTGAGTAATGGGCTTACTTTAATAGACTCTTATTGACCCTAATTAGATTCATTTAATTGATTCTGACCATTTAACTTCACAGCTCAGCAGAAAATCACTACAAACTAAAACATGTAAAATTCTGGCGTGGATAGAATATATATACTTTTATAAACTATGTTGATATCCTTTTATAAGGGGCTAGTTTCCATATTTGCTGTTAGTTTTCAAATCTAGGGATGACAAAAAATGTGCTACAATGCCAAGCATTTTTCAACAATTATCATAGGAGTTGTCAGCAACTATTGGAACACTTAATTTTCAAGTAATGGATCGCCATGGCAACAGGTGTAACTGATGGCACAGGTTAGTTAGACAACACCTTTACAACATCAAAGTTTGAACAAGTCTAGTGGGTAAAGACAGACAGTCGAATTGAACATCTTCCATACTTTGGCAAAGTTTGTAAACCTGGAGCGCCCAAACAGGTCATAGTAGTCACCAAACTGGCCAAGGGACATGACTACCATTCCCATTATGGAATCAATGGCATTGTTAAATGGATCTTGGTTGTCCCTCATAAATATGATATACATGGCTGAAATATATAGGCAAGAATAAATATGCTAGATGTCTGAAATATACAGGCAAGAATAAATATGCTAGATGTCTGAAATATATAGGCAAGAATAAATATACTAGATGTCTGAAATATATAGGCAAGAATAAATATGCTAGATGTCTGAAATATAGAGGCAAAAGTTCATCAATTTAAACTATAACAGCACCATATGTATGACATCCCAAGTCTTGAGCTGCATAAATCCATGACAAATAGTGAAGTCACATGTACAAGCAAGGTGTTGCTTGAAAACATTCAAGTAACCATCTATGTTTCTCTCTATGTAATGCTCAAATGTGTATGACATATGAAACTTGAATATACTAAAATGTGTATGACGTATGAAACTTGAATATACTAAAATGTGTATGACGTATGAAACTTGAATATACTAAAATGTGTATGACGTATGAAACTTGAATATACTAAAATGTGTATGACGTATGAAACTTGAATATACTAAAATGTGTATGACGTATGAAACTTGAATATACTAAAATGTGTATGACGTATGAAACTTGAATATACTAAAATGTGTATGACATATGAAACTTAAATATACTAAAATGTGTATGACGTTTGAAACTTGAATATACTAAAATGTGTATGACGTATGAAACTAGAAAACATTCCAGTAACCAGTTGTTTCTCTATTAGCCTAAAGTAAGTTTGAGCCCTTACCCTGTGAAAAGCCTACAATGAAGACCACATAGATGATAAAGAACTGCAGCAAATCTTTCCTGATCATGTTGTAAATCATCACAACAGAAGGTCCCACAATGCGAAAACCTCTGAAATCAAACAGCTTTTAGTTCAATAGATCATTCAAGGGAGGGAACTAAAAAACTACTAAAAAATTGAGAAATTCTTCCCAATGTAGTTGAGTTGTACCTGCAGAAAAACAGAAAGTAGGGAGAGGTGCACAAGACGGCCAAGACACCAACGACATCCTCAAACTGGTGGGCACACGTGGCTCGGCCTGGCAACATCAACACAACAAAGATGCAGGACATCAGGAATAGAGTCTTCGCTGGGGCTCCCGTCTGTCAGATACATCAACACATTTTTATATGGGCCCCCTGTCAGATACATCAACACATTTTTATATGGGCCCCCTGTCAGATACATCAACATATTTTTATATGGGCCCCCTGTCAGATACATCAACAGATTTTTATATGGGCCCCCTGTCAGATACATCAACACATTTTTATATGGGCCCCCCTGTCAGATACATCAACAGATTTTTATATGGGCCCCCTGTCAGATACATCAACAGATTTTTATATGGGCCCCCTGTCAGATACATCAACAGATTTTTATATGGGCAACCTGACAGATACATCAACAGATTTTTATAAGGGCCCCCTGTCAGATACATCAACACATTTTTATATGGGCCCCCTGTCAGATACATCAACAGATTTTTATATGGGCCCCCTGTCAGATACATCAACACATTTTTATATGGGCCCCCTGTCAGATACATCAACAGATTTTTATATGGGCCCCCTGTCAGATACATCAACAGATTTTTATATGGGCCCCCTGTCAGATACATCAACAGATTTTTATATGGGCCCCCTGTCAGATACATCAACAGATTTTTATATGGGCCCCCTGTCAGATACATCAACACATTTTTATATGGGCCCCCTGTCAGATACATCAACAGATTTTTATATGGGCCTCCTGTCAGATACATCAACAGATTTTTTAAGGTGAACAAAAAATAGCAGCACCATGTATAGCCACACGTGTGACATTACACATTGCCTGACCCACATGATGTGTGACATCACATGATGTGTGACATCACATGATGTGTGACATCACATGATGTGTGACATCACATGATGTGTGACATCACATGATGTGTGACATCACATGATGTGTGACATCACATGATGTGTGACATCACATGATGTGTGACAACACATGATGTGTGAAATCACATGATGTGTGACATCACATGATGTGTGACATCACATGATGTGTGACATCACATGATGTGTGACATCACATGATGTGTGACAACACATGATGTGTGACAACACATGATGTGTGACAACACATGATGTGTGACAACACATGATGTGTGACAACACATGATGTGTGACATCACATGATGTGGTATACTGACCAACGTTGAGAAAAAAACTTTAAAGCCCTGATGGTAGATCTCCTTCAAGGCCAGGAAAATGTAGATGACAGCTGAGATGAGGACAACTACTTCCAACACCATCCGCACCTGCAGACAGACACCAGCAGCTTAAACACACATCAATTCTTCTAGGCTAATTAATTGTTCTAAGCAAATTAATTGTTCTAAGCTAATTAATTGTTCTAAGCAAATTAATTGTTCTAAGCAAATTAATTGTTCTAAGCAAATTAATTGTTCTAAGCAAATCAATTGTTCTAAGGAAATCAATTGTTCTAGGCTAATTAATTGTTCAAGGACAAATCAATTGTTCTGGGGGGGGGGTCCTGTAAAAGTAGGCAACTACTTACAATGTCCTCTGTCCTGTAAGGCATGAGCAAGTAACAAGGGTTGGCAGTCTGGTTGGCCTGACAGTAGCTGAGGGTGACATTCTGGTTAGGTTTTGAACACAGGTCCACACCTGGACGCAGGGCGAAGGCCGTCACAAAACAAATGAAGTAGCAGATGAAGAGAAAAAATCTGCGGTAGAATCTGAAAAAACACAATTATCTCCCCTTTATTAGTTTCTATTAGGGCAGTGGTCAGTCTGTTCTAGGCCAGTGGTCAGTTTCTAACACATCTTACAAACATATACAACCTGCCCCACCCACAATGTTTTCCTCCATACCTGAAGCTAACAAATGTTTCCTTCCATACCTGAAGCTAACAAATGTTTCCTTCCATACCTGAAGCTAACAAATGTTTTCTTCCATACCTGAAGCTAACAAATGTTTTCTTCCATACCTGAAGCTGACAAATGTTTTCCATTTTTCTTGCAGGAGTTTGACAATGACACCATCCATCATGTCGAGGTGACCTTCTAGGTTCTGGGGAGGAAGAAGTCAGAAAGCTCAGTCCCATGACCCTCATGTGGCCAATCTCAGACCCATGACCCACATGTGGCCAATCTCAGACCCACATGTGGCCAATCTCAGTCCCATGACCCACATGTGGCCAATCTCAGTCCCATGACCCACATGTGGTCAATCTCAGTCCCATGACCCACATGTGGCCAATCTCAGTCCCATGACCCACATGTGGCCAATCTCAGTCCCTTGACCCACATGTGGCCAATCTCAGACCCACATGTGGCCAATCTCAGTCCCATGACCCACATGTGGTCAATCTCAGACCCACATGTGGTCAATCTCAGTCCCATGACCCACATGTGGCCAATCTCAGTCCCTTGACCCACATGTGGCCAATCTCAGACCCACATGTGGTCAATCTCAGACCCACATGTGGTCAATCTCAGTCCCATGACCCACATGTGGCCAATCTCAGTCCCATGACCCACATGTGGTCAATCTCAGTCCCATGACCCACATGTGGTCAATCTCAGTCCCATGACCCACATGTGGTCAATCTCAGTCCCATGACCCACATGTGGTCAATCTCAGACCCACATGTGGCCAATCTCAGTCCCATGACCCACATGTGGTCAATCTCAGTCCCATGACCCACATGTGGTCAATCTCAGACCCACATGTGGCCAATCTCAGTACCACATGTGGCCAATCTCAGTCCCATGACCCACATGTGGCCAATCTCAGTCCCATGACCCACATGTGGTCAATCTCAGTCCCATGACCCACATGTGGTCAGCCCATGACCCACATGTGGTCAGCCTATGGACCACTGACCTACGCACTAGCCACTGACCCCTTTGACTATTAGATGTAGAGCAGAATCCATGTTGATTTCCCCTGTTCTGGATATGGTATCCACATCTGTTAATGGATACCCAAAAAATCTCAGTCCCATGACCCACATGTGGTCAATCTCAGACCCACATGTGGCCAATCTCAGTACCACATGTGGCCAATCTCAGTCCCATGACCCACATGTGGCCAATCTCAGTCCCATGACCCACATGTGGTCAATCTCAGTCCCATGACCCACATGTGGTCAGCCCATGACCCACATGTGGTCAGCCTATGGACCACTGACCTACGCACTAGCCACTGACCCCTTTGACTATTAGATGTAGAGCAGAATCCATGTTGATTTCCCCTGTTCTGGATATGGTATCCACATCTGTTAATGGATACCCAGCGGATGTCACGTTACAGAAGAGCCAGTAAACTTCCCTGACCATCTCCAGAATATGCTCAAACATCTGTCAAATAATGTGGTGCTGATGTTATAGGCTGATGTTATAAGATGGACTGATGATGTTATAAGATGGGCTGATGATGTTATAAGATGGGCTGATGATGTTATAAGATGGACTGATGTTTAAAAAAATCTAGTGATGAGGTAATAAGATGGGCTGATGTTTAAAAAAATCTAGTGATGAGGTAATAAGATGGCCTGATGTTTAAAAAAATCTAGTGATGAGGTAATAAGATGGGCTGATGTTTAAAAAACTCTAGTGATGAGGTAATAAGATGGGCTGATGTTTAAAAAAATCTAGTGATGAGGTAATAAGATGGACTGATGTTTAAAAAAATCTAGTGATGAGGTAATAAGATGGGCTGATGTTTAAAAAACTCTAGTGATGAGGTAATAAGATGGGCTGATGTTTAAAAAACTCTAGTGATGAGGTAATAAGATGGGCTGATGTTTAAAAAACTCTAGTGATGAGGTAATAAGATGGACTGATGTTTAAAAAACTCTAGTGATGAGGTAATAAGATGGGCTGATGTTTAAAAAAATCTAGTGATGAGGTAATAAGATGGCCTGATGTTTAAAAAAATCTAGTGATGAGGTAATAAGATGGGCTGATGTTTAAAAAAATCTAGTGATGAGGTAATAAGATGGGCTGATGTTTAAAAAAATCTAGTGATGAGGTAATAAGATGGCCTGATGTTTAAAAAAATCTAGTGATGAGGTAATAAGATGGGCTGATGTTTAAAAAAATCTAGGGATGAGGTAATAAGATGGGCTGATGTTTAAAAAACTCTAGTGATGAGGTAATAAGATGGACTGATGTTTAAAAAAATCTAGTGATGAGGTAATAAGATGGACTGATGTTTAAAAAACTCTAGTGATGAGGTAATAAGATGGGCTGATGTTTAAAAACTCTAGTGATGAGGTAATAAGATGGCCTGATGTTTAAAAAAATTCTAGTGATGAGGTAATAAGATGGGCTGATGTTTAAAAAACTCTAGTGATGAGGTAATAAGATGGGCTGATGTTTAAAAAAATCTAGTGATGAGGTAATAAGATGGACTGATGTTTAAAAAAATCTAGTGATGAGGTAATAAGATGGGCTGATGTTTAAAAAACTCTAGTGATGAGGTAATAAGATGGGCTGATGTTTAAAAAACTCTAGTGATGAGGTAATAAGATGGGCTGATGTTTAAAAAACTCTAGTGATGAGGTAATAAGATGGACTGATGTTTAAAAAACTCTAGTGATGAGGTAATAAGATGGGCTGATGTTTAAAAAAATCTAGTGATGAGGTAATAAGATGGCCTGATGTTTAAAAAAATCTAGTGATGAGGTAATAAGATGGGCTGATGTTTAAAAAAATCTAGTGATGAGGTAATAAGATGGACTGATGTTAAAAAAAATCTAGTGATGAGGTAATAAGATGGGCTGATGTTTAAAAAAATCTAGTGATGAGGTAATAAGATGGGCTGATGTTTAAAAAACTCTAGTGATGAGGTAATAAGATGGGCTGATGTTTAAAAAACTCTAGTGATGAGGTAATAAGATGGGCTGATGTTTAAAAAACTCTAGTGATGAGGTAATAAGATGGACTGATGTTTAAAAAAATCTAGTGATGAGGTAATAAGATGGGCTGATGTTTAAAAAAATCTAGTGATGAGGTAATAAGATGGCCTGATGTTTAAAAAAATCTAGTGATGAGGTAATAAGATGGGCTGATGTTTAAAAAAATCTTGGGATGAGGTAATAAGATGGGCTGATGTTTAAAAAACTCTAGTGATGAGGTAATAAGATGGACTGATGTTTAAAAAAATCTAGTGATGAGGTAATAAGATGGACTGATGTTTAAAAAACTCTAGTGATGAGGTAATAAGATGGGCTGATGTTTAAAAACTCTAGTGATGAGGTAATAAGATGGACTGATGTTTAAAAAACTCTAGTGATGAGGTAATAAGATGGGCTGATGTTTAAAAAACTCTAGTGATGAGGTAATAAGATGGGCTGATGTTTAAAAAAATCTAGTGATGAGGTAATAAGATGGACTGATGTTTAAACAAATCTAGTGATGAGGTAATAAGATGGACTGATGATGTTATAAGATGGGCTGATGTTTAAAAAAATCTAGTGATGATGTTATAAGATGGACTGATGATGTTATAAGATGGGCTGGTGATGTTATAAGATGGGCTGATGTTTAAAAAACTCTAGTGATGATGTTATAAGATGGGCTGATGTTTAAAAAAATCTAGTGGTGATGTTATAAGATGGGCTGATGTTTAAAAAACTCTAGTGATGAGGTAATAAGATGGGCTGATGTTTAAACAAATCTAGTGATGAGGTAATAAGATGGGCTGATGTTTAAAAAAATCTAGTGGTGATGTTATAAGATGGGCTGATGTTTAAAAAACTCTAGTGATGAGGTAATAAGATGGGCTGATGTTTAAAACACTCTAGTGATGAGGTAATAAGATGGACTGATGTTTAAAAAATCTAGTGATGAGGTAATAAGATGGGCTGATGTTTAAAAAAATCTAGTGATGAGGTAATAAGATGGACTGATGTTTAAAAAAATCTAGTGATGAGGTAATAAGATGGACTGATGTTTAAAAAATCTAGTGATGAGGTAATAAGATGGGCTGATGTTTAAAAAAATCTAGTGATGAGGTAATAAGATGGACTGATGTTTAAAAAAATCTAGTGATGAGGTAATAAGATGGGCTGATGTTTAAAAAAATCTAGTGATGAGGTAATAAGATGGGCTGATGTTTAAAAAACTCTAGTGATGAGGTAATAAGATGGACTGATGTTTAAAAAAATCTAGTGATGAGGTAATAAGATGGGCTGATGTTTAAAAAATCTAGTGATGAGGTAATAAGATGGGCTGATGTTTAAAAAAATCTAGTGATGAGGTAATAAGATGGGCTGATGTTTAAAAAAATCTAGTGATGAGGTAATAAGATGGGCTGATGTTTAATAAATATAGTGATGAGGTAATAAGATGGGCTGATGTTTAAAAAACTCTAGTGATGATGTTATAAGATGGGCTGATGTTTAAACAAATCTAGTGATGAGGTAATAAGATGGGCTGATGTTTAAAAAACTCTAGTGATGAGGTAATAAGATGGGCTGATGTTTAAAAAACTCTAGTGATGATGTTATAAGATGGGCTGATGTTTAAACAAATCTAGTGATGAGGTAATAAGATGGGCTGATGTTTAAAAAACTCTAGTGATGATCTTAATTTTACTCACATCTCTTTTGGCTAGTTTAGCAGCTAAAGTCAGGGGAGTTAAATTCTGTCTGTTCTTTATATCAAGTCGTCCCCCCTGACTATAAAGTAGGTCAAACATTGGCTGAAAGAGAAACATGCACATTCCAAATGAAATCAAACTTAATGAAGCTAATCTGTTCAGCACGTTGCTGTCTAAATACCAGCAGCATTTCCAAGGACATTTTTTTAAGCAAGAAAACATGCTTACAACATTTTTAAAGGCAGAAAATGTGCCTACAATATAAAGGAAGAAAATGTGCTTTAATAATAAAAATATACTGAAGAAATAAACTATAAAAACTAGACTCACAAACTTTTTTATTATGTAGCTACATGTTTTTTTTTTACTGAAATATCACATGGTTATTTAAAAATTTCTCAGTTTTTTTAACATTTAAAATATTTAGTCTAGTATGTATTTTTTACATTTAGTATCCCACTAAAGACTTTTCAATTTTGCACATTTTATAGGTATTTGTAAAAAAATACTTTGAATGGTCAAAAAAGGCCAAATTCTGTTACTCGACAGCAGTTAAAAAATCATCTCGGTGATAGTTTTCAATTGGTAAATGAAATATATTGAGTAATATCAACAACTATAAACATAATGCATAATTAGAGGGCTTAAAATCTACTTTTTAATGGTACCAACCTTATAAAAGCCCTTTTTATTATCGAAACTATGAAGTGAAAAGCTACTATATTTGGGCTACATGGAGGAAAAAGGCGTTTTTTACGGAAGTTTGACATACTTAGAGTATAAAGAAAGAAAATGTGCTTACAGTAAAAAGAAAGAAAATGTGCTTACAGTAAAAAGAAAGAAAATGTGCTAACAGCATAAAGAAAGAAAATGTGCTTACAGGAAAAAGAAAGAAAATGTGCTTACAGGAAAAAGAAAGAAAATGTACTTACAGGAAAAAGAAAGAAAATGTGCTTACACTAAAAAGAAAGAAAACGTGCTTACAGTAAAAATGAGAGAAAATGTGCTTAGAGTAAAAAGAAAGAAGATGTGCTTACAGTATAAAGAAAGAAAATGTGCTTACAGTAAAAAGAAAGAAAATGTGCTTACAGTAAAAAGAAAGAAAATGTGCTTACAGTAAAAAGAAAGAAAATGTGCTTACAGTAAAAAGAAAGAAAATGTGCTTAGAGTAATAAATGTGCTTACAGTAAAAAGAAAGAAAATGTGCTTACAGTAAAAAGAAAGAAAATGTGCTTACAGTAAAAGAAAGAAAATGTGCTTACAGTAAAAAGAAAGAAAATGTGCTTACAGCAAAAAGAAAGAAAGTGTGCTTACAGTAAAAAGAAAGAAAATGTGCTTACAGTAAAAAGAAAGAAAATGTGCTTACAGTAAAAAGAAAGAAAATGTGCTTACAGCAAAAAGAAAGAAAATGTGCTTACAGTAAAAAGAAAGAAAATGTGCTTACAGTATTAAATGTGCTTACAGTAAAAAGAAAGAAAATGTGCTTACAGTAAAAAGAAAGAAAATGTGCCTACAGTAAAAAGAAAGAAAATGTGCTTACAGTAAAAAGAAAGAAAATGTGCTTACAGTAAAAATGAGAGAAAATGAAAAGAAAAAAGAAAGAAAATGTGCTTACAGTAAAAAGAAAGAAAATGTGCTTACAATAAAAAGAAAGAAAATGTGCCTACAGTAAAAAGAAAGAAAATGTGCTTACAGTAAAAATGAGAGAAAATGAAAAGAAAAAAGAAAGAAAATGTGCTTACAGTAAAAAGAAAGAAAATGTGCTTACAATGTTGTCATAGATGACCAGCATGTGCATGACGGTGTTTCCATTTAAATCCTGCAGGTTGGGGTTGGCGCCTTTAGCCAGCAGCAGACGCACACATTCCTCTTGGTTAAGACAAGCAGCAAAACTCAATGGGTAGTCACCCCAGTACACATTCCTAAACAGTTCAAAACTCAATGGGTAGTCACCCCAGTATACATTCCTAAACAGTTCAAAACTCAACGGGTAGTCACCCCAGTACACATTCCTAAAAAGTTCAATACTCAATGGGTAGTCACCCCAGTACACATTCCTAAAAAGTTCAATACTCAATGGGTAGTCACCCCAGTACACATTCCTAAACAGTTCAAAACTCAATGGGTAGTCACCCCAGTACACATTCCTAAACAGCACAAAACTCAATGGGTAGTCACCCCAGTATACATTCCTAAACAGCACAAAACTCAATGGGTAGTCACCCCAGTATACATTCCTAAACAGCACAAAACTCAATGGGTAGTCACCCCAGTATACATTCCTAAACAGCACAAAACTCAACGGGTAGTCACCCCAGTATACATTCCTATACTAATTTCAAAACACATCTCACTCACCCCCCCCCCCATAATTAGTCTGTAATTATCTAATCACCCCCACAATTTGTATGTCCTAGTCCACCCACCCCCCCCCCCCCCCATAATGTGTATGTCCTAGTCCACTCACCCCCCATAATTGGTATGTCCTCGTCCACTCACCCTTCATAATTAGTCTCCTTGCAGACATTGACCCACTCATGGTCTAACGAGTCTGTGCGGGACCCCTTCTGGTCATCTGGTGTAAAAAAATTGCCACAAACCCTGGCCTCAAAGTCCACGCCCTTGTCCAGCAGAAACTTGACCATGGCTGGATCTTCGTTGACAATGGCTATATGTAGCAGGTTTTCTCCTAGGGAGTACAAGGGGAAGGGCTCAAACTTTTCCTTGGTCTACATGGAGAAGGTTTAAACTTTTCCTTGGTCTACATGGGGAGGGGCTCAAACTTTTCCTTGGTCTACATGGAGAAGGGCTCAAACTTTTCCTTGGTCTAGTCAGACAAGACAAAACTACCTCTCTAATATAAATGTCATTCATCATCTTAGACAAGACAAAATACCATAGTATTCCTCTCCAATATAAATGTCATTAATCATCTTAGGATAAAACATAAGCAGTCTCTTGGCCAGGTCAGCGTGGGCTTGTGTAGAGTTGAGCAGACAGAGGTGAAGGATTGTCTCCCCTACAGTTCCCCTCTTCTCAATATCCCAACACTGGAACCTTGACTTATGGTCTGTAATAATAGTGAGATGAGTTGACTGTAACAATAGTGAGATGAGTTGACTGTAACAATAGTGAGATGAGTTGACTGTAACAATAGTGAGATGAGTTGACTGTAACAATAGTGAGATGAGTTGACTGTAACAATAGTGAGATGAGTTGACTGTAACAATAGTGAGATGAGTTGACTGTAACAATAGTGAGATGAGTTGACTGTAACAATAGTGAGATGAGTTGACTGTAACAATAGTGAGATGAGTTGACTGTAACAATAGTGAGATGAGTTGACTGTAACAATAGTGAGACATGTGTTCTGTAACAATAGTGAGATGAGTTGACTGTAACAATAGTGAGATGAGTTGACTGTAACAATAGTGAGATGAGTTGACTGTAACAATAGTGAGATGCGTTGACTGTAACAATAGTGAGATGCGTTGACTGTAACAATAGTGAGATGAGTTGACTGTAACAATAGTGAGACATGTGTTCTGTAACAATAGTGAGATGAGTTGACTGTAACAATAGTGAGATGAGTTGACTGTAACAATAGTGAGATGAGTTGACTGTAACAATAGTGAGATGAGTTGACTGTAACAATAGTGAGATGAGTTGACTGTAACAATAGTGAGATGAGTTGACTGTAACAATAGTGAGATGAGTTGACTGTAACAATAGTGAGATGAGTTGACTGTAACAATAGTGAGATGAGTTGACTGTAACAATAGTGAGATGAGTTGACTGTAACAATAGTGAGACATGTGTTCTGTAACAATAGTGAGATGAGTTGACTGTAACAATAGTGAGATGAGTTGACTGTAACAATAGTGAGATGAGTTGACTGTAACAATAGTGAGATGCGTTGACTGTAACAATAGTGAGATGCGTTGACTGTAACAATAGTGAGATGAGTTGACTGTAACAATAGTGAGACTTGTGGTCTGTAACAATAGTAAGACATGTGTTCTGTAACAACAAAGATTGAGTGAGACTAGGGTTTCTGTAACAATGGTTTTCCTCACCCCCTCCTTGTTTGTACAATATATCATCCATCTGCATGATGTTGTCTATAGTCGCCTGGTCCTGAGCTGATTTCTGTTTGCTTTTACTGGCTTTGATGCCACTCTTCTGACGATCTTTATTCCTCATCTTGACAAGATCAAGGACTGGGATATTCTTTCCTTTACCACCATTGTACAGAAATGGCTCAACATCCCGTTTGATTCTCTCATCAAGTTCTTGCAAATAAAAACAATCAGATTTGTACCAATGTTTCAGGTGGAGTATATTAAAAATAAAATTATTTTTAATCAACTACAGACTTCATGGTGCACCATCAATATGGCCCAGGACAAAAGTGCCCCCGTCAACATGACCCCAACAAAACAACCCAGTCAAGATAGCCATGTCAAAATTGCCTCAACATTTTTGGCTCCTGTCAAATTGGCTCTCGACAAAATTACTCCGACATATTGGCTCCAGACTAATTAATCATAATATTGGCATAAATGTAACCATTTTGTCGAACCCACCAACCATATGCAATTTCTACCTCTATTAATACTATAGCCTATTTTATATGCCAGAATGAATCATTTTTCATGAACAAACAGCAATTCATAAACAAATTGAGCCCTTAACAAAAATAAAATAGTTCATTTCTTCATATTCTCAAATAATATCTGGCTAGTCACTAGTGTATCCTGTTGAAAATTAATGATATTGTGGGAACGTTCTCACCGGGATTCAAAGGGTCGACTCGAAATATCATCCAAATCTAAAATAAAAGCTAATCGAAAAACAACTTCTTTCTAAAATAATTTTTAAAAATCTAACCAGTAAAGTTCTTAGTCCATCTTGCAACTTTAGTCAACTCAACCAGTTCGCCTCCTCCTTTTAAATTTACAAATTGATATAATTTTCTAGCGTCAGTATCTCCCTGATTTTTTACACCACTTGCAACTACTGACGTATTTCCCATTTTGATTAGCCTAATAAAATTTAACTAATTTCAACTTATTTGACTTGATTAATGATTGGCCATTGAATTATAAATCCAAAAACTAAACCTTCGATCCTTTTATTTTTAACAGTTAGATCTAGATTTAGATCTAAATCGTTAATCAAATCTAATCGGATGACTTTTATTGCAAATTTATTCTAGATCTAGATCTAGACTAGATTTAGAATCTAGATAGATCGAGATCAAGCTCGGTGCAGCGCCATTTTGATGCTCATTAAAATCCAAACAACATGTCCTCCCCTAGCAGCAGTATCGACATTTTCCTATTGAGCATAGTCTACGTTTCTTTCCGGACTTACAGTCAATAATAAAATAAGCTATTGATTTTAAAATTTCAATACAACAATCATTAGTCTATGTATCTTCCTCGATCTAATAATTCATTATTAAACTACCAAAAGTGTAATCTAAAGGAATTTTTTTTTATAATGCGAGTTAAAAATAATCTGAGCGATACAAAAGTTTTCATACCCTGTTCCGGATTAATTAGTTATCATAGCAACACTAGTGGCGGCGTTAACAACGGTGTGAAGATTGTGTGGTGGCTGAGGTAGAAGTTGTGGTGTCTTGGGTAGTAAAAACGATATCGGAGAAAAACATTTTCATCAAAAAATGACCTCGATTTCGACTGGAGGAGGTCCAACTCTGGAACAAAGAAGAGCATTTTCAGGCATTAAGGATGGGGCAGAAATCCCAGGGTAAGAAAATAATTAATTATTATTATAGTAGGCCTATTATTATAAATATAATTAATAGCCTAATAATAGGGCCTAAATTAAAAAAAAATATATTGATCTTGTGATATAGATCTTTAACCTTTATAGATAAATCTACTAATAAGTAATAAATAGTAGGTAGGCCTAAATAGTTTATAATTTAATATTATAAATATATTCATAGTGCCTGACTGAGGCCTAATCAATAAAATGACTTTTTATCATTTTTAAAGTTAAAGACAACTTTAGATTACAATTGGAACCATTAAGATCTAGATCTAAATTAAGATTATTTTTTGTACAAGAAAAAGCACTGATTACATCTAATATCTATACATAAATTATATCAACATAAAAATAGGACATTTTCAATCATTTTCATCCTCTTGAAATTATTAATTATTATAGTTTATAGGCTACCTACATTTAAAATAGGCCCCTAATATATATATATATATATATATATATATATATATATATATATATATATATATATATATATATATATACATACATATATGAATAAAATAATTGAGCTCGATGGAGGCGAGCGAGTTGACGAGATTCCGTCCCCAATGTTGTTGACATGGAATAAAAACGTGCTTTTTAGATTTAGACCGTAAAAAAAAAATAAAAAATAAAAACTTAAGCCTAAAATTAATTTAGAAATTTTATATTTTTAGAATAAATGCTATAAAAGTTGCAAATCCAGAGAACTTGAAAATAATTTGTTGAGTTTAAGGCTACATTTCTATTTATTTTCATCAAGCCTAAGTTATAACCAGATGTTTCACTTTCGTAAGACAAATATTGATTGGCTGTACAGTAACTTAGTGATCGATAACTATTTGTTTACAAAACTTTGCAGATCAAGTTTTTAAATAACAATGCAAATTTAAAACCCCATGACCTAGTTTTCTATTTTTAGCTTACAATGTGTACAATAAAATCAATGGCGGCCTATCCAATAGCAGGATGCCATTGTTTATGTCGCCATTACACGTGAAAACCAAATTGTTTTTGCTTTTTTTTTTATTTTTATTTAGTTACCGAAAATATTATAAACATCAAATACATCCAATCTTTAGTAAAGTCCGAAAAAAAACCAGATAGACAGGATTTTATAACCATATTAATTGTAACTACGCTGTGCATGATTTTTAAATGAATTTATACACCTCTCAAATACCTTTGAGACTTTTCTCGCTGGTGTCCATTAAAAACAATTTATTATTAACTATATTGAAATTGTGCAGTCTGTAGGCCTAGCGGCAAAAATGTGTCTTGTCAAGTAGATTAAAAATATTGTTTATATTTACATGCCTCACTCAAAATACAACATTCTAGACATAATGAATGTATACAACATTATTGTTGAAAATGGACAAAAATAATTTTAATAAAAATAATTTTAGCAGCAGTAAAAAAATGATTTAAAAAAAATTTAAGCTTTAAAAACTTCGAATATTTCATATTTTAAGAATCAATGATATAAAACTTACAAATGAAGAGAACTTGAAAATCAACTTTTTGTGTTAAAGGCTACATTTCTATTTATTTTCATCAAGCCTAAATTTTAACCTGAAGTTTCACTTTCATAAGACAAGCATCATTGATTAGCTGTACAGAAAATCAATGATCAATCTTCTGAAAACCTACTTTGTAGCAAATTGTACTCAAAAGTTTGCCAATAAAGTATTTAAAATAAAATTATATTTTTCTAACCCACATAAGAGTTTTTACATTTTTAGTGATGAAAAGAAAAACCCAAACTGTTTTTTGCAAATTTTGATGAGTTAACTGTACTAAAAGTACTAAAGAGTCAGACAAATATTTCACAGTTAACATTTTATTAGCACACTTATTTCAATAACTTGAATAACACTGCACATTATTTTTTTAAAAATTTCATGAACAATTTAAGACTATTCTCATTTGGTTCTTCATTATTACAAACACTGTAAATATTTAAAAAATAAATAAATGGAATCACATAATTTAAATTTATTAGATACAATTGCATGCCATATGTTTAAACAGTAAAGATGTAAGCCAGTAGTGTCCCCTTGTGATCTGTGAAAATGCTATTTGCTTTGAATGGATGCTTCAAGAGGAGAATGAAAATGTCCTATTTTTGTGTTGATGTAATTTATGCATGATTCTTTAAGTTAATTATAGACATTAGATGTAATATACATACACACCATTACTTACACAAAAGTCTTAAATTTGATTATTTAATTTGGTATCTGACTTGAGTTGGGGAATGTAAAGGTGGCTGGGCATAGTACTGACCATACTTTACCTTCATATACTATCAAGGTAAATGAAAAAGATTAATTATGACTATAATTAATATTACGATATACTTGAGTGCCAAGGTATTGCTATCACCAGCATCAAACATTGCAATAGGTAGCCAGGCTAGTCAAACATTGTATGATTTAGCTCAACTCAAATGGTCCAGAAATATTTTTTAAACAAAATTTTATAGACAGAATAACTTTAAAGAAAGATAAAAATGTATAACAGAATAACTTTAAAGAAAGATGAAATTTTAAAGACATAAATATACTAAAACCTTGATGGTTTGTTTTTGTTTAATTAACTATCGTCTCTCTAAGTTGAGTTCAGAGTTGAACAAGTTTTGACATTGCTGTGTTGAAACCTTTAGATATAGAGGCTACATCCCACAGTTGAAATACCGAGTAGGGAGCACATACGGAGCGGAAACACTCGCGCTCAGTCAGGTCTGTAAACATCAAATCATTGTCTCATACAAAACATGGCTTTAGCTTTGTTAATGCCATCATGTCTCATACAAAAAATGTTCAAACTAACAAAACTTTCATGTTGGGGGGGGGGGGGGGGGGGGGGGGGGGGAGGGGGATCTCCCCACAACCCAAATCAAACAACAACCCAGCTATCCCCACAACCCAAATTAAACAACCCTGCTATCCCCACAACCCAAATTAAACAACAACCCAGCTATCCCCACAACCCAAATCAAACAACCTAACTATTCCCACAACCCAAAAATCCCCACAACCCAAATCAAACAATCCTGCTATTCACACAACCCAAATCAAACAAGCCAGCTAACCGCACAATTCTAATCAAACAACTCAACTATTCCCACAACCCATCTATCCCCACAACCCATCTATCCCCACAACCCATCTATCCCCACAACCCATCTATCCCCACAACCCAAATCAAACAACCCAGCTATCCCCACAACCCAAATCAAACAACCTAACTATCCCCACAACCCAACTATCCCCACAACCCAAATCAAACAACCCAGCTATCCCCACAACCCAAATTAAACAACACTGCTATCCCCACAACCCAACTATTCCCACAACCCAAATTAAACAACCCAGCTATCCCCACAACCCAAATTAAACAACCCAGCTATCCCCACAACCCAAATCAAACAACCCTGCTATCCACACTACCCAAATCAAACAAGCCAGCTAACCGCACAATTCTAATCAAACAACTCAACTATTCCCACAACCCATCTATCCCCACAACCCATCTATCCCCACAACCCAAATCAAACAACCCAGCTATCCCCACAACCCAAATCAAACAACCTAACTATCCCCACAACCCAACTATCCCCACAACCCAAATCAAACAACCCAGCTATCCCCACAACCCAAATTAAACAACCCAGCTATCCCCACAACCCAAATTAAACAACCCAGCTATCCCCACAACCCAAATCAAACAAGCCAGCTAACCACACAATTCTAATCAAACAACTCAACTATTCCCACAACCCATCTATCCCCACAACCCATCTATCCCCACAACCCATCTATCCCCACAACCCATCTATCCCCACAACCCAAATCAAACAACCCAGCTATCCCCACAACCCAAATCAAACAACCTAACTATCCCCACAACCCAACTATCCCCACAACCCAAATCAAACAACCCAGCTATCCCCACAACCCAAATCAAACAACCTAACTATCCCCACAACCCAAATCAAACAACCCAACTATCCCCACAACCCAAATCAAACAACCCAGCTATCCACACAACTTAAATCAAACAAGCCAGCTAACCGCACAATTCTAATCAAACAACTCAACTATTCCCACAACCCATCTATCCCCACAACCCGGCTATCCCCACAACCCAAATCAAACAACCCAGCTATCCCCACAACCCAGCTATCCCCACAACCCAGCTATCCCCACAACCCAACTATCCCTACAACCCAAATCAAACAATCCAGCTATCTTCTTTATTTTTAATGTTAACATTTTAAAATATTTCCTCCCATAAGTATCATGTGGCAACAAATGAGCCACATGGCCCGTTGATTCTGACTTGCACCTGCTTTGCTTCCATAGCCTTCAAGAACAATGTACAAGGCAGCAGAGGTTTCATTTAGGAGTTTTTTTTCTCTTTAATGGGTTGCTATTTGAAGCTAATTAAATAGCCAAACTGTCCTGTGGTTCAAACTCAAAACTTTTGGAGTTAGCAGTCATGCGCTACCCTGCAATGGAATATGTAAAGTTATAGTAATTTGATTACCAATATAGTATACCCATAAGAAGTAAAGTGCTTCAAGCAGATTCAAACATTGTTAAAAAGTATTTTGTCGCTGTTTCTCATTTTCCTATCCATTAAAAAAAAGAGGACAAAGTTCAGCCCAAAAGGGGCGTAGCTTCAAAAAAATTTGAATACATAAAAAAAAATACTTATACACACACACACACACACACACACTATATATATATATATATATATATATATATATAGATAGATAGATATAGATATATATATATATATATATATATATATATATATATATATATTGGGGGGGGGTGACACCATTCGGTGCTGCACCGGGTGACACCGGAGCTAGCGGCTCCACACATAGATTTAGATCTATGTATCTTGTACCATGTCCACCAGACGGCTATATCACAGCCTAAATCTAGAACAACCCAAATGACATGCTAGGCTATATCACAGCCTAAATCTAGAACAACTCTAATGACATGCTAGGCTATATCACAGCCTAAATCTAGAACAACTATAATGACATGCTAGGCTATATCACAGCCTAAATCTAGAACAACCCAAATGACATGCTAGGCTATATCACAGCCTAAATCTAGAACAACCCAAATGACATGCTAGGCTATATCACAGACTAAATCTAGAACAACTCTAATGACATGCTAGGCTATATCACAGCCTAAATCTAGAACAACCCAAATGACATGCTAGGCTATATCACAGCCTAAATCTAGAACAACTCAAATGACATGCTAGGCTATATCACAGCCTAAATCTAGAACAACCCAAATGACATGCTAGGCTATATCACAGCCTAAATCTAGAACAACTCTAATGACATGCTAGGCTATATCACAGCCTAAATCTAGAACAACCCAAATGACATGCTAGGCTATATCACAGCCTTAATCTAGAACAACTCAAATGACATGCTAGGCTATATCACAGCCTAAATCTAGAACAACTCTAATGACATGCTAGGCTATATCACAGCCTAAATCTAGAACAACTCTAATGACATGCTAGGCTATATCACAGCCTAAATCTAGAACAACCCTAATGACATGCTAGGCTATATCACAGCCTAAATCTAGAACAACTCTAATGACATGCTAGGCTATATCACAGCCTAAATCTAGAACAACTATAATGACATGCTAGGCTATATCACAGCCTAAATCTAGAACAACCCAAATGACATGCTAGGCTATATCACAGCCTAAATCTAGAACAACCCAAATGACATGCTAGGCTATATCACAGCCTAAATCTAGAACAACTCTAATGACATGCTAGGCTATATCACAGCCTAAATCTAGAACAACCCAAATGACATGCTAGGCTATATCACAGCCTAAATCTAGAACAACTCAAATGACATGCTAGGCTATATCACAGCCTAAATCTAGAACAACCCAAATGACATGCTAGGCTATATCACAGCCTAAATCTAGAACAACCCAAATGACATGCTAGGCTATATCACAGCCTAAATCTAGAACAACCCAAATGACATGCTAGGCTATATCACAGCCTAAATCTAGAACAACTCTAATGACATGCTAGGCTATATCACAGCCTAAATCTAGAACAACCCTAATGACATGCTAGGCTATATCACAGCCTAAATCTAGAACAACCCTAATGACATGCTAGGCTATATCACAGCCTAAATCTAGAACAACTCTAATGACATGCTAATATAACAGGTAGATCACATTCAGAGTCAGATCTAGTATCTAGTATATAAAGTGTAAACTTGCATTAACCACCTAAATCTAGATCCAACAACCTAGGCCAAGTTAGAGCTGAGCCTAAACCAGTGACGCCAGTGTTTCTTCCAGACTTTCTTCTCCGGGGAGGGGGGGCACTTAAAATCTTCGGGGCGGGGGTGGGGGGGGGCGGTAAACTTTCTTCGGGGGGGGGGGGGGCGGACACTGTTAAAAGTATATATTTTCTATATAAATTATATAAATTTCATTTCGTTCGGGGGGGGGGGGGCGGTAAAAAAAATTCTGGGCTCCCCCCCCCCCCCCCGAAGAGATGCCTGGAAGAAACTCTGGCCTAAACAACCTAGGCCAAGTTAGAGCTGAGCCTAAACAACCTAGGCCAAGTTAGAGCTGAGCCTAAACAACCTAGGCCAAGTTAGAGCTGAGCCTAAACAACCTAGGCCAAGTTAGAGCTGAGCCTAAATCTCCAAATCTCCCATCAGTCGGGTCGCTGCTAAAAAGTCATTTCAACTTTTTGTGTAAATATTTGCAGATAGCTTGCTCTAGAAGTCATGAACTGGATACAAATAAATAGATCTAGGTCTACGTATTTCAAAATTATTTTCTTGAAACTTGTTTGTACCTGCCAAAGTTTTGACATTTGAAATTAAAATTTTGAAAAAATTAAACCGGCCTCGGAACTCAGCGTTTTTTGAAAAAAAAAAAAAATGTAAGTTTTTTTTTGTTCCGGTAAGATGGGAGAAAAAGCGTAGCCCCAGAAACTTTTTTTTTTTAAAGAACCCACTCTAGATCTAAGACAAGACTGCGACAGGTGCGAGTCAATTTCATTCAAGTGCTAGAAGAATTCTCAAGTAATTAAAAACAAAAATAGTAAGCGGTGTAAGTCTCCTAGGGTTGGAGGAATTTTCTCTCTTTTCGATCTTTTGCTAGAATTGTAGAAATTTAAGCAACAATATTGGGCTTGTTGGTGAATAGAAAAGATCTTTTATTTTCGTTTAATTAAATGAAGATATTCCACCGAGCCCATCCAATATAAACCTGATCGCTGGCCATGTCGTGTCCGACGTTAGAGGGCGCTAAAAGACTTGGCCACCCGTCAATCAACTCTCGACATAAATGACGTCAGGCTTTTTGGACGTTCTAACCCCCCCCCCCTCCCCTCCTGCACACATTTCACAATAAGCCAGACCCCCCCCCCCCAAAAAAATGACGTCACACCTCAGCCTACAACGACCCTCACATCTGCAATTGAATTTTTCCTAAAACATCAATATTTTACCAAAATCTTGTCTGAACTCTGTCAACATAGAGTATTTTAATCAATTTTTATTACAATTTATTAAAACAGTTTTCTAAAACGCGAAATAACGGCTAAAACTCGTTTTCTAACATTGCTTTTTTTTTTAATAATGCAAAAGTGTGACGTCACACCATCTAAACCCCCCTCTCCCCCTCATCACATACCGTCACACAATTACGGACCCCCTCCCCCCTACGAGTGTGACGTCATTTATGGACGATCCCTAAGGGAAATTAATGTGACGTGACACTGACGTCAACATCCTCTCCACTCTATGAATCTACTTTTTGTTAGGTTTCTTTGATCGAAAACAACACAACTATATTTTAATCGCATTTAGTTTTTTTAACCCTAAAAAAATACTCTACAAACACACTCCATGCAGTCACTTCATGCGGTCATTTCATTCAGTCACTTCATGCAGTCACTTCATGCAGTCAAATCATTCAGTCACTTCATGCAGTCAGTTCATGCAGTCACTACATGCAGTCACTACATGCAGTCAGACGGGGGCGGCATCTGAAGTGGAAGCCACTCCAAATTTATAGTCAAAGACAAACAACCTATAGTTATCTGATCTGATATGCTTTCGATCCAGGCCTTATCGAATAGAGCAATCCATTCAGTTAATCGGACAGGGAGATCACTCGACACCCCGTTAATCTTAGGGGAAATAACCCTCTCTCAACATTGAAGACATTAACGTTAGTGAAATCGATTTTTAAGTAGACCTACAGGCGGATATAACATAAGACACTTTCAAATAAACCAGGGGTCTCCAAACTACGGCCCGCGGGCCGGATGCGGCCCGCGATGTCCTCTCATCCGGCCCGCGGAAATCTTTTTGTCCACGGAAAAAACGTTTGTTGATGATGGCCGAGGATCTTTGCCCAGAGAAATGCCTGGAAATAACTGGCCCTCTAACTGAAATTTGATAGTTAATGCGGCCCTCGGACTGAAAAGTTTGGAGACCCCTGAAATAAACCATTGGTATTATTATTTACGAGCCGACCCGCGGCATATCATACGTCGCTATTTAGTTGTTTTTTCTACTTTTCAGTAATTCATAATTTGTGAATTCGACAGTACCAATGCTGCCACTGAAAATATTTGCTTTAAAACACTAAACCCCCAATTCCCCCGCCCCCCCCCCCCCCCCCCCGTGAAAGCAGCCTCCTCTTAGTTACCTCCTCTAAGTTTAAAATAGTTTCAAACTGAATTATCTGCCCCTAATAGCCGTCACCAAACTAAACATTTAGCGTGAACTACAACTCACCTGACCATGTGGGGGGGGGGGGGGGGGGTAGCGATAGAGAGGAAGAGAGGGGACTGCAAGTTGCGCGCTTGCAGCTTGTTTTCTAACGGCTCCCAGAAGAGAATTATATATATAGATTATTTATCTAGAACTATCTAAAGTATTTCAGTAAATGGTGCTTTGCGGTTTTTTTCTCTCCCCAATTCTACAAAAAGTCACCCACCAAAAAGTGACATCACACTTCAGACTTTTCTTTAAGAAATCCATTTAGCCACTGCCCCCCCCCCCCTCACTTAATCCAGTAACTGTTGATCAAGCATGCCCAGTGTTTCTTCCAGACTTTTTTCTCCGGGGGGGGGGGGGCACTTGAAATTTTCGGGGGGGGGGGGGGGCGGTAGACTTTCTTTGGTGGGGGGGGGGACGGACACTGTTAAAAGTATATATTTTCTATATAAATTAGAAACTCTGTGCGTGCCGACGTCACGTCGTTAGCCGTCCGTATCTCTCAAGCAACCAATCAGACGTTTGCTTTTTATTTGGATCCGAAATGTTTCTTCATGTCTATTTTAGGACTACGGCATGAAAACAAACACAAGTTCTGGGCAGGAGTGTGAGAAGCTGGTGGAACAGCTGCCTCTCACCAATGGCGACAACAAGTTCACAGAGAAGATGGTACCGGGCTACACAGGTGAGGGGGGCTTACAGGTGTGTGGGGCTTACAGGTGTGTGGGGCTTACATTACAGGCGTGTGGGGCTTACAGGTGTGTGGGGCTTACAGGTGTGTGGGGCTTACAGGTGTGTAGGGCTTACATTACAGGTGTGTGGGGCTTACATTACAGCTGTGTGGGGCTTACAGGTGTGTGGGGCTTACAGGTGTGTGGGGCTTACAGGTGTGTGGGGCTTACATTACAGGCGTGTGGGGCTTACAGGTGTGTGGGGCTTACAGGTGTGTGGGGCTTACAGGTGTGTGGGGCTTACATTACAGGTGTGTGATGCTTACAGGTGTGTGGGGCTTACAGGTGTGTGGGGCTTACATTACAGGCGTGTGGGGCTTACAGGTGTGTGGGGCTTACAGGTGTGTGGGGCTTACAGGTGTGTGGGGCTTACATTAAAGGCGTGTGGGGCTTACATTACAGGTGTGTGGGGCTTACATTACAGGTGTGTGGGGCTTACATTACAGGCGTGTGGGGCTTACAGGTGTGTGGGGCTTACATTACAGGTGTGTGGGGCTTACATTAAAGGTGTGTGGGGCTTACAGGTGTGTGGGGCTTACATTACAGGTGTGTGGGGCTTACAGGTGTGTGGGGCTTACATTAAAGGCGTGTGGGGCTTACAGGTGTGTGGGGCTTACATTACAGGTGTGTGGGGCTTACATGTGTGTGGGGCTTACATGTGTGTGAGGCTTACAGGTGTGTGGGGCTTACAGGCGTGTGGGGCTTACATGTGTGTGGGGCTTACATTACAGGTGTGTGGGGCTTACAGGTGTGTGGGGCTTACAGGTGTGTGGGGCTTACATTACAGGCGTGTGGGGCTTACAGGTGTGTGGGGCTTACAGGTGTGTGGGGCTTACAGGTGTGTGGGGCTTACAGGTGTGTGGGGCTTACATTACAGGTGTGTGGGGCTTACAGGTGTGTGGGGCTTACAGGTGTGTGGGGCTTACATTACAGGCGTGTGGGGCTTACATTACAGGTGTGTGGGGCTTACATTACAGGTGTGTGGGGCTAACAGGTGTGTGGGGCTTACAGGTGTGTGGGGCTTACAGGTGTGTAGGGCTTACATTACAGGTGTGTGGGGCTTACAGGTGTGTGGGGCTTACAGGTGTGTGGGGCTTACAGGTGTGTGGGGCTTACAGGTGTGTGGGGCTTACAGGTGTGTGGGGCTTACATTACAGGTGTGTGGGGCTTACAGGTGTGTGGGGCTTACATTACAGGTGTGTGGGGCTTACAGGTGTGTGGGGCTTACATTACAGGCGTGTGGGGCTTACAGGTGTGTGGGGCTTACAGGTGTGTGGGGCTTACAGGTGTGTGGGGCTTACATTAAAGGCGTGTGGGGCTTACATTACAGGTGTGTGGGGCTTACATTACAGGTGTGTGGGGCTTACAGGTGTGTGGGGCTTACATTACAGGTGTGTGGGGCTTACAGGTGTGTGGGGCTTACATTAAAGGCGTGTGGGGCTTACAGGTGTGTGGGGCTTACATTACAGGTGTGTGGGGCTTACATGTGTGTGGGGCTTACATGTGTGTGAGGCTTACAGGCGTGTGGGGCTTACATGTGTGTGGGGCTTACATTACAGGTGTGTGGGGCTTACAGGTGTGTGGGGCTTACAGGTGTGTGGGGCTTACATTACAGGCGTGTGGGGCTTACAGGTGTGTGGGGCTTACAGGTGTGTGGGGCTTACAGGTGTGTGGGGCTTACAGGTGTGTGGGGCTTACAGGTGTGTGGGGCTTACAGGTGTGGGGCTTACAGGTGTGTGGGGCTTACAGGTGTGTGGGGCTTACAGGTGTGTGGGGCTTACATGTGTGTGGGGCTTACATTACAGGCGTGTGGGGCTTACAGGTGTGTGGGGCTTACAGGTGTGTGGGGCTTACAGGTGTGTGGGGCTTACAGTTGTGTGGGGCTTACATTAAAGGCGTGTGGGGCTTACATTAAAGGCGTGTGGGGCTTACAGGTGTGTGGGGCTTACATTACAGGCGTGTGGGGCTTTTATCCTTACATTTGAGTAACTTCTGATTTAATACAGGCTGGGTATGTGAATGTCTTTTATCCTTAGTCGGGAGATGCCCCCCCCCCTCACACACACATACACATCTATGTATGTAGATATTAAGCAGACATGGGTTATATGTTACATTTAAAAATGTTCATTCAACAAACTACTCTAGTGCTATATCAAGAAATTGTGTGACCAATGAAGTTGACTCTAGCCTGAAGCTCATGTTTACCAGCAAGTTTGTCTAGACGGGTGGACAGCTTTACGACTGAAATAATGGCTGTTTGTTTTTTATCCTAGAGCAGAGTAGTGGCCCTTCCTCCACGGCAGAGCTTTTACATTTTATCTTTGATTTTCGTTATGAGTCCAATTATCATCTACTCTTCTTCTTGTTTATGAAAACTTTTAAAAACATGTGGGGGTACTTCTTCCCATGGCAATACACAAATGTTCTCTTTAAAAGCTGGCAGGTGGAGCCAACACTTGACACACCCGCGTTCTGATTGGTCGGGTAATTAACATTCGAGGCGGGCTGGCAAAGTCCCAATGGTGGGGTAAATAGCAAACACATAATTGTGGGGTAAATAGCAAACATACAGAATTGTGTTGTAAAAGCAAAAGTACAAAACTGTGGGGTAAATAGCAAACATACCGAATTGTGGGGTAAATAGCAAACACATAATTGTGGGGTAAATAGCAAACATACAGAATTGTGTTGTAAAAGCAAAAGTACAAAACTGTGGGGTAAATAGCAAACAGAATTGTGGGGTAAATAGCAAACAGAATTGTGGGGTAAATAGCAAACAGAATTGTGCGGTAAATAGCAAGCATATAGAATTGTGGGTAAATAGCAAACACGGTATTGTGGAGTAAATAGCGAACATACAGAATAGTGCGGCAAATAGCAAACGTACACAATAATTGGGTAAATAGCAAACATACAGAATAGTGGGGTATATAGCAAGCATACAGAGTGTTCTTGTATATCTGGTGAATACTGAATTAAATTCATACTAACTTGAGTTTAAACTTGAAAGCGAACACCCCTCCCTCTCCCCCCCCCCCCCCAATCCCCGCCGTTCCTGCCTTCCATCCATACATCACCTGTGAGAATCGAGAAGAGCGATCTGTGGGCAAGGTGGGACTGGGGGTGGGGGAGAATCCCCATGGTATATCGTGGGCGGGATGGCCAGGTGAATGTGGAAGGTAGCGGCGTGGGAATCGTTGGCTAATATACAAGTGGAGGAGTGGGGCAGGGAGGGGATCAAAGTATACTTAGGTCAGCTTTTAGAAATAAATAAAAATCAAATTAAAAAAAAAAATCTTCTTTATTTCTGTTTTTTAATAGGCTCCTTTTTGTGACTTATTATAATAGTTTTCCGACTCAAATTTCCAGCCAAATACTACATTCCCATGCCACTATTTATAGCCACTACAATCCCCTGCTACTGTTTATAGTAACATTACCGCCCCTTCTCCGTGATTTCATATGACGTCACGGCGTCTTCCTCCCGGCCCCATCACAGCCGTCCATTGCATGAAGTGACTGAATGAAGTGACTGCATGAAGTGACTGCATGAAGTGACTGCATGAAGTGACTGCATGAAGTGACTGCATGAAGTGAAGTGACTGCATGAAGTGACTGCATGAAGTGAAGTGACTGCATGAAGTGACTGCATGAAGTGAAGTGACTGCATAAAGTGACTGAATGAAGTGACTGCATGAAGTGACTGAATGATTTGATTGCATGAAATGGCTGCATGGAATGACTGAATGAAGTGACTGAATGAAATGGATTCATGAAGTGACTGCATGAAGTGACTGCATGAAGTGACTGCATGAAGTGACTGCATGAAGTGACTGCATGAAGTGACTGCATGAAGTGACTGCATGAAGTGACTGCATGAAGTGACTGCATGAAGTGACTGCATGAAGTGAAGTGACTGCATAAAGTGACTGAATGAAGTGACTGCATGAAGTGACTGAATGATTTGATTGCATGAAATGGCTGCATGGAATGACTGAATGAAGTGACTGAATGAAATGGATTCATGAAGTGACTGCATTATTTGACTGCGTGAAGTGACTGCATGAAGTGACTGCATAAAGTGACTGCATGAAGTGACTGCATGAAGTGACTGCATGAAGTGACTGCATGAAGTGACTGAATGAAGTGACTGCATGAAGTGACTGAATGAAGTGACTGCATGAAGTGACTGCATAAAGTGACCACACGAACCACTCATGTCTTAAGGCTACGTCCCTCGCCTGATGTTCAAGTTTGGCGGCACCTACAGGCACGACTGTGACGTCAGCATCGGCAACTTCCTGACGAGTCGAGACAGCCACGCAGACAAGCAGTACGAGCTGTTACGTCACACGAGCGCCAACCCACGTCTCACGGCCATCTCACATGACCCCGATGTCAAGGACAAGCTCAACACATACAGAGATACCCACCCCATTCAGGCCACCTTGATTGGTGAGTAGGTCACCTTGATTGGCGAGTAGGTCACCTTGATTGGTGGAGGTCACCTTGATTGGTGGAGGTCACCTTGATTGGTGAGTAGGTCACCTTGATTGGTGAGTAGGTCACCTTGATTGGTGGAGGTCACCTTGATTGGTGGAGGTCACCTTGATTGGTGAGTAGGTCACCTTGATTGGTGAGTAGGTCACCTTGATTGGTGGAGGTCACCTTGATTGGTGGAGGTCACCTTGATTAGTGGAGTAGGTCATCTTGATTGGTGGAGTAGGTCATCTTGATTGGTGAGTAGGTCACCTTGATTGGTGGAGTAGGTCACCTTGATTGGTGGAGGTCACCTTGATTAGTGGAGTAGGTCATCTTGATTGGTGGAGTAGGTCACCTTGATTGGTGAGTAGGTCACATTGATTGGTGAGTAGGTCACCTTGATTGGTGAGTAGGTCACCTTGATTGGTGGAGGTCACCTTGATTAGTGGAGTAGGTCATCTTGATTGGTGAGTAGGTCACCTTGATTGGTTGAGTAGGTCACCTTGATTGGTGGAGGTCACCTTGATTGATGAGTAGGCCACCTTGATTGGTTGAGTAGGTCATCTTGATTGGTTGAGTAGGTCACCTTGATTGGTGAAGTAGGTCACCTTGATTGGTGAGTAGGTCACCTTGATTGGTGGAGTAGGTCACCTTGATTGGTGAGTAGGTCACCTTGATTGGTGGAGTAGGTCACCTTGATTGGTGAGTAGGTCACCTTGATTGGTGGAGTAGGCCACCTTGATTGGTTGAGTAGGTCATCTTGATTGGTGGAGGTCACCTTGATTGATGAGTAGGCCACCTTGATTGGTGAGTAGGTCACCTTGATTGGTGAGTAGGTCACCTTGATTGGTGGAGTAGGTCACCTTGATTGGTGGAGTAGGTCACCTTGGTTGGTGAGTATGTCATCTTGATTGGTGAGTAGGTCACCTTGATTGGTGAGTAGGTCACCTTGATTGGTGGAGTAGGTCACCTTGATTGGTGAGTAGGTCACCTTGATTGGTGGAGTAGGTCACCTTGATTGGTGAGTAGGTCACCTTGATTGGTGAGTAGGTCACCTTGATTGGTTGAGTAGGTCACCTTGATTGGTGAGTAGGTCACCTTGATTGGTGAAGTAGGTCACCTTGATCGGTGGAGTAGGTCACCTTGATTGGTGGAGTAGGTCACCTTGATTGGTTGAGTAGGTCATCTTGATTGGTGGAGTAGGTCACCTTGATTGGTGGAGTAGGTCACCTTGATTGGTTGAGTAGGTCATCTTGATTGGTGAAGTAGGTCACCTTGATTGGTGAGTAGGTCACCTTGATTGGTGGAGTAGGTCACCTTGATTGGTGAGTAGGTCACCTTGATTGGTGGAGGTCACCTTGATTTGTTGAGTAGGTCACCTTTTATTAATGAGAAGGTGGTGAGTGGTGAGGTGAACTTATCAGTGCTCAATTTATTAATAGCCCCACTCAAAAAAGTCAATGCCCAACTTGTCAATGCCCGATTTATCAATGCCCAACCTGTCAATGCCCATTTTGTCAATGCCTAACTTATCAATGCCCAACTTATCAATGCCCATCTTGTCAATGACTACTTGTCAATGCCCAACTTGTCAGTGCCCATTTTGTCAATGTCTACTTGTCAATGCCCATCTTGTCAATGTCTACTTGTCAGTGCCCAAATTGTCAGTGCCCAACTTGTCAATGCCCATCTTGTCAATGCCCATCTTGTCAATGTCTACTTGTCAGTGCCCAAATTGTCAGTGCCCATTTTGTCAATGCCCAACTTGTCAGTGCCCATTTTGTCAATGCCCATTTTGTCAATGACTACTTGTCAATGCCCAACTTGTCAGTGCCCATTTTGTCAATGTCTACTTGTCAATGCCCATCTTGTCAATGTCTACTTGTCAGTGCCCAAATTGTCAGTGCCCAACTTGTCAATGCCCATCTTGTCAATGCCCATCTTGTCAATGTCTACTTGTCAGTGCCCAAATTGTCAGTGCCCATCTTGTCAATGTCTACTTGTGAGTGCCCAACTTGTCAGTGCCCAACTTGTCAGTGCCCAACTTGTCAGTGCCCAATTTGTCAATGCCCATGTTGTCAATGCCCATTTTATCAATGCCCCACTTTGTCCAGCCAACAAAAGACCCCTGAGAGAACCTCCGATCCCCGGCTACCAAGGATTCGTCCCCAGGGTGTTCCCCACAGAGGTGGCCCTAGGACAGAGATACAACCGTGCCACAAACAGTGGCCTTGACCTTTTTATACGAGAGCAGAACCACAACAGGCTGATCAACCACTCCACGCCCGTCCGGCCAATCACAATAGACAGGTAACATTTAACGTAGACAGGTAACACTCGATGAAGACAGGTAACACTTGCGTAGACAGGTAACACTTGACGTAGACAGGTAACACTTGATGTAGACAGGTAACACTTGACGTAGACAGGTAACACTTGACATAGACAGGTAACACTTGACATAGACAGGTAACATTTGACACAGACAGGTACATTTGACACAGACAGGTAACACTTGACGTAGACAGGTAACACTTGACGTAGACAGGTAACACTTGACACAGACAGGTAACACTCGATGAAGACAGGTAACACTTGCGTAGACAGGTAACACTTGACGTAGACAGGTAACACTTGACGTAGACAGGTAACACTTGACGTAGACAGGTAACACTTGACATAGACAGGTAACACTTGACATAGACAGGTAACATTTGACACAGACAGGTACATTTGACACAGACAGGTAACACTTGACGTAGACAGGTAACACTTGACACAGACAGGTAACACTCGATGAAGACAGGTAACACTTGCGTAGACAGGTAACACTTGACGTAGACAGGTAACACTTGACGTAGACAGGTAACACTTGACGTAGACAGGTAACACTTGACGTAGACAGGTAACACTTGACGTAGACAGGTAACACTTGACGTAGACAGGTAACACTTGACGTAGACAGGTAACACTTGACATAGACAGGTAACATTTGACACAGGCAGGTAACATTTGACACAGACAGGTAACACTTGACGTAGACAGGTAACACTTGACACAGACAGGTAACATTTGACGTAGACAGGTAACACTTGACGTAGACAGGTAACACTTGACATAGACAGGTAACATTTGACGTAGACAGGTAACACTTGACGTAGACAGGTAACACTTGACATAGACAGGTAACATTTGACGTAGACAGGTAACATTTGACGTAGACAGGTAACATTTGACGTAGACAGGTAACACTTGACGTAGACAGGTAACACTTGACGTAGACAGGTAACATTTGACACAGACAGGTAACACTTGACGTAGACAGGTAACATTTGACGTAGACAGGTAACACTTGACGTAGACAGGTAACATTTGACGTAGACAGGTAACATTTGAGGTAGACAGGTAACACTTGACGTAGACAGGTAACACTTGCGTAGACAGGTAACATTTGACGTAGACATGTGACAGGTGACACAGACAGGTAACAGCTGACACGTGACTTCAACATATTTATTACATTTAGTTGACCCTATCATCCTGTTGACTCCCCCCCCCCCCCCTACAATAATATTTTTCTCACGCTATCTTAAGGGGCAATGTGGTAGAGTAGTAGAGCGCTCGACTACTAGGTCTCGAGTTCAGATCTTGGCCTTTTGACTGTAGGAGATCCCTGAGCCCATCCAGCTCTTATGGGTACCTGACTTATGTTGGGAAAAAGTAAAGGCATAGTGCTGACCACACCAGAGGTCGAAAAACATATGAACTCTACTTCACCTGCCATATAGATCGTACGGTCTAAAATGGGAACTCTATTTACTTTTGAACTTCTATTGTCCCCCCCACCCACCCGCTAACTCCCACCGCCAATTCTCCCCCCCCCCCCCCACCCATCTATGAGTGCGTGCCATCTTTCCCCTCAGTCCTCCAGTTGATTTCACCACCTCAAGCACGCGGCCCGGCCTCGACTACAGCACACGTATCTACATGAGGGACGGGATGATCCCCAAGTACACAGGCTACATACCACGTAAGTGTCCAAGTACACAGGCTACATACCACGTAAGTGTCTAGACATTCTCCCAAAGTACACAGGCTACATACCACGTAAGTGTCTAGACATTCTCCCAAAGTACACAAGCTACATACCACGTAAGTGTCTAGACATTCTCCCAAAGTACACAGGCTACATACCACGTAAGTGTCTAGACATTCTCCCAAAGTACACAAGCTACATACCACGTAAGTGTCTAGACATTCTCCCAAAGTACACAGGCTACATACCACGTAAGTGTCCAAGTACACAGGCTACATACCACGTAAGTGTCTAGACATTCTCCCAAAGTACACAAGCTACATACCACGTAAGTGTCTAGACATTCTCCCAAAGTACACAGGCTACATACCACGTAAGTGTCTAGACATTCTCCCAAAGTACACAAGCTACATACCACGTAAGTGTCTAGACATTCTCCCAAAGTACACAGGCTACATACCACGTAAGTGTCTAGACATTCTCCCAAAGTACACAAGCTACATACCACGTAAGTGTCTAGACATTCTCCCAAAGTACACAGGCTACATACCACGTAAGTGTCTAGACATTCTCCCAAAGTACACAAGCTACATACCACGTAAGTGTCTAGACATTCTCCCAAAGTACACAGGCTACATACCACGTAAGTGTCTAGACATTCTCCCCAAGTACACAGGCTACATACCACGTAAGTGTCCAAGTACACAGGCTACATACCACGTAAGTGTCTAGACATTCTCCCCAAGTACACAAGCTACATACCACGTAAGTGTCTAGACATTCTCCCCAAGTACACAAGCTACATACCACGTAAGTGTCTAGACATTCTCCCCAAGTACACAGGCTACATACCACGTAAGTGTCTAGACATTCTATCGCAGTTTTTCTTTAAATAGAACGTCATGTGATCACACGTCAATTGTATGCAGATTAAAATTGAATCCCCCCCCCCCCCTGCATCCTCAGAGCGCAGATATGTGTTTGGCAACACCTATGGAGACGAGACCCGTTCGCTAGAGGTCTGCGCCCACCAAGCCCCCAACTTTGGTGCCTTTGTGCGCTCAAAAACTTTCGCATAAGTCAACTTGCCAGAAAAATGTTACAGAAAAAGCCAAAATGAAGCCAAATTTGTTTTTGTAGCTGGATTAGGTGGGAACTTCATTTTGCCCTACACCTTGCTGAAGAGATTAGAGTGGAGCCGCCAGTCATGCTTGTTTCATCAAGGGAGGGAGTGGGTCGTCTGCTAGCCATCAACAGCCAGCTCGTGGTGTAAATACAGGCCACATAGCTAGCCAGAGATTTTTTTCTTAACAAAAATATTTGTGTGTCCATGTATTGTCTCTCAGTGAGTAGCAACGATTGTTTAGAGTGGTGTCATCTGCTGGTGTCATCTGGTGGTGTCATCTGGTGGTGTCATCTGTTGGTGTCACCTAATGGTGGTGTCATCTGGTGGTGTCACCTAATGGTGGTGTCATCTGCTGGTGTCATCTGCTGGTGTCATCTGCTGGTGTCATCTGCTGGTGTTACCTGCTGGTGTCACCTAATGGTGGTGTCATCTGCTGGTGTCATCTGCTGGTGTCATCTGGTGGTGTCACCTGCTGGTGTCATCTGCTGGTGTCATCTGCTGGTGTCACCTAATGGTGGTGTCATCTGCTGGTGTCATCTGCTGGTGTCATCTGGTGGTGTCACCTGCTGGTGTCATCTGCTGGTGTCATCTGCTGGTGTCATCTGCTGGTGTCACCTAATGGTGGTGTCATCTGCTGGTGTCATCTGCTGGTGTCATCTGCTGGTGTCACCTAATGGTGGTGTCATCTGGTGGTGTCACCTAATGGTGGTGTCATCTGCTGGTGTCATCTGCTGGTGTCACCTAATGGTGGTGTCACCAACACAAACTCTATATCATGTCACCTCATGTTGTGTGACCCAAGTGATGTCATCACAAAAATTGTCTAGAAACAAAAATATGCTCAAAACTTGCACAGTTTTTCACTCTTTGTTTTTTCTATTGAATTCAAATATCAGCATTAACCAATGTTTTTTTTCTACTCACAAAGTAATCAACTTTAAGGGGGTCTCATTAATGAATCCTTTGAGTAATCAATTTTAAGAGGGTCTCAATATTATTAAATGGTGTCTAATTGATAAACTTTGTTTGATCTAATTGATAAATTTAGTGATCAATGAATGGATTTAGTGGTCAATCAAAAATGCAGTATTATTGATACGCTCTATTTGGTCTTAGTAAGTTCAACGTATCAATTTAAACCATTTGTAAATAAAAAATCTTTCTAAACCATTTGTAAACAAAAACTTTTTAAACCATTTGTAAACAAAAACTTTCTAAACAATTTGTAAATAAAAACTTTCTAAACCATTTGTGAAAAAAGACTTTCTAAACCATTGATAAACAAAAACTTTCTAAACCATTTGTACACAAAAAAAATTTCTAAACCATTTGTAAACAAAAACTTTCTAAACCATTTGTAAACAAAAAATTTCTAAACCATTTGTAAACAAAAACTTTCTAAATCATTTGTAAACAAAAACTTTCTAAACCATTTGTAAACAAAAATTTTCTAAACCATTTGTAAACAAAAACTTTCTAAACTATTTGTAAACAAAAATTTTCGATACCATTTGTAAACAAAAACTTTCTAAACCATTTGTAAACAAAAACTTTCTAAACCATTTGTAAACAAAAACTATCTAAACCATTTGTAAACAAAAACTTTCTAAACCATTTGTAAACAAAAACATTTCAGCTCCCGTGTCAGCATTTAAGCTTTACAATTTGATTGGCCTTTTAATGGATGTTAGCTAAGATCGCTTTGTAAATGTTTTTAAATTTACAATTTGGGTCTCATATTTCAACTAGTTTATTATCTTTTAACAAGTGTGCTTTGACAATGTGTGATTAACAATTTTCAGCCAAATTTTTATACATCTGCTCTTTGCACAAAATATGTGTCACCCCTCAAGCTACAGTATTAATAAAAATCTCATGATGAAAATGATTTCATTGAATTGAGTTGAATGTCTTTGTATTCATTGAATGTCTTTGTATTCATTGAATGTCTTTGTATTCATTGAATGTCTTTGTATTTATTGAATGTCTTTGTATTCATTGAATGTCTTTGTATTCATTGAATGCCTTTGTATTCATTGAATGTCTTTGTATGAGTTGAATGTCTTTGTATGAGTTGAATGTCTTTGTATTCATTGAATGTCTTTGTATGAGTTGAATGTCTTTGTATGAGTTGAATGTCTTTGTATTCATTGAATGTCTTTGTATGAGTTGAATGTCTTTGTATGAGTTGAATGTCTTTGTATGAGTTGAATGTCTTTACATCAGTTTTCCCATTTGGCTGATGGAATGAACAAAGTTTTCTTGGAAAAAACCAGACAGAAAAAGCCTCAGTAAAATTGTTTTGAAAATCTGCCTCATTCTCACATAACAACTCGACCCTCTAATGATTTTTCCAAGTTACAACACGTTTTTTACAGGATCTCATAGTCTACAACCTCAAAGAATATTTTTTAAAAAAAAAGGGGGGGGGGGGTCGATAAGAAACTGTTGGGTACATATGTCCCCGGGCGCCGACCCTAGGGGGCGCCAAAATGGGTTGGAAAAAATTGAAAAGCTCATTTTAGCTGCAGTTTTGCATTATAAATATAAAGAATATATGGGGGTGGGCGCCAAATTGAACGTTTTATAATATATAATATGTGATATATAATATATTATATATAATACATATATAAAACTCCTACACGATGCTCAGTTTAAATCATCCTAGGCCTACACGATGCTCAGTTTAAATGTTCTTAATTAATTTTTCGTGACCGAACGAAAGGATATTTTTGAAAACTTTCTTCAGCAATATTGTTCTAAATTATGACAGGAATCGATTGGTACATGTTTCAAGTCGCTAAGTGGTCTGGTTGCCGAGATATGGAGCAAAAACTGCATTTGTTCTAGGTTTTTTGGCTTTTCCGAGAAATTCAGGAAGGAATTCCGGGAATTTTTTGGCCCACAATCATCCTTGGAACTTGCTTAACATATTTGCTTTTGGAACTAGTCCTCGATATTGCTTTGTTGATGAGGAGATACGACTTAAAGCTGCGGACACACATTCATCCATCCATCCAGAAATGACGAGTTATTAAACGCAATTTTTGCCAGTATGGAAATTGCGCTAAAAAGCCTAAACTAGGGTTTGAACTGAAGGAATAAAACGGGCCGTGGATAAGGTGGTTGAGATGGCCGTCACCCTGGCAGGTACTCTAGTCAATTTATAAAGGTATTAGAGGGGCATCACGTGACAAAAGACTTTTTTTTAGTTCGGTTAGAGAAGCGTCAGAGTGTTTCGTCACCACTGGAGTCACCACTGGAGTCACCACTGGAGTCACCACTGGAGTCACCACTGGAGTCATCATCTGAAGTCACCACTGGAGTCACCACTGGAGTCACCACTGGAGTCACCACTGGAGTCACCACTGGAGTCACCACTGGAGTCATCATCTGAAGTCAGGAAAGGCATGCTGGGAAAAATATCTTTAGCCCAAAACAAAATTTCCCGAGCGACTAATAAACTGAATTTTCTGTTGTAGTAGGGGTAAGTCTGTTGTAGTAGGGGTCAGTTTCTGTTGTAGTAGGGGTAAGTCTGTTGTAGTAGGGGTCAGTTTCTGTTGTAGTAGGGGTCAGTTTCTGTTGTAGTAGGGGTCAGTCTGTTGTAGTAGGGGTCAGTTTCTGTTGTAGTAGGGGTAAGTCTGTTGTAGTAGGGGTCAGTTTCTGTTGTAGTAGGGGTCAGTCTGTTGTAGTAGGGGTCAGTTTCTGTTGTAGTAGGGGTCAGTTTCTGTTGTAGTAGGAGTCAGTTTCTGTTGTAGTAGGGGTCAGTCTGTTGTAGTAGGGGTCCGTTTCTGTTGTAGTAGGGGTCAGTTTCTGTTGTAGTAGGGGTCAGTTTCTGTTGTAGTAGGGGTCAGTTTCTGTTGTAGTAGGGGTCAGTTTCTGTTGTAGTAGGGGTCAGTTTCTGTTGTAGTAGGGGTCAGTTTCTGTTGTAGTAGGGGTCAGTTTCTGTTGTAGTAGGGGTCAGTTTCTGTTGTAGTAGGGGTCAGTTTCTGTTGTAGTAGGGGTCAGTTTCTGTTGTAGTAGGGGTCAGTTTCTGTTGTAGTAGGGGTCAGTTTCTGTTGTAGTAGGGGTCAGTTTCTGTTGTAGTAGGGGTCAGTTTCTGTTGTAGTAGGGGTCAGTTTCTGTTGTAGTAGGGGTCAGTTTCTGTTGTAGTAGGGGTCAGTTTCTGTTGTAGTAGGGGTCAGTTTCTGTTGTAGTAGGGGTCAGTTTCTGTTGTAGTAGGGGTCAGTTTCTGTTGTAGTAGGAGTCAGTTTCTGTTGTAGTAGGGGTCAGTTTCTGTTGTAGTAGGGGTCAGTTTCTGTTGTAGTAGGGGTCAGTTTCTGTTGTAGTAGGGGTCAGTTTCTGTTGTAGTAGGGGTCAGTTTCTGTTGTAGTAGGGGTCAGTTTCTGTTGTGGTAGTGGTCAGTTTCTGTTGTAGTAGGGGTCAGTCTGTTGTAGTAGGGGTCAGTTTCTGTTGTAGTAGGGGTCAGTTTCTGTTGTAGTAGGAGTCAGTTTCTGTTGTAGTAGGGGTCAGTCTGTTGTAGTAGGGGTCCGTTTCTGTTGTAGTAGGGGTCAGTTTCTGTTGTAGTAGGGGTCAGTTTCTGTTGTAGTAGGGGTCAGTTTCTGTTGTAGTAGGGGTCAGTTTCTGTTGTAGTAGGGGTCAGTTTCTGTTGTAGTAGGGGTCAGTTTCTGTTGTAGTAGGGGTCAGTTTCTGTTGTAGTAGGAGTCAGTTTCTGTTGTAGTAGGGGTCAGTTTCTGTTGTAGTAGGGGTCAGTTTCTGTTGTAGTAGGGGTCAGTTTCTGTTGTAGTAGGGGTCAGTTTCTGTTGTAGTAGGGGTCAGTTTCTGTTGTAGTAGGGGTCAGTCTGTTGTAGTAGGGGTCAGTTTCTGTTGTAGTAGGGGTCAGTCTGTTGTAGTAGGGGTCAGTTTCTGTTGTAGTAGGAGTCAGTTTCTGTTGTAGTAGGGGTCAGTTTCTGTTGTAGTAGGGGTCAGTTTCTGTTGTAGTAGGAGTCAGTTTCTGTTGTAGTAGGGGTCAGTTTCTGTTGTAGTAGGGGTCAGTTTCTGTTGTAGTAGGGGTCAGTTTCTGTTGTAGTAGGGGTCAGTTTCTGTTGTAGTAGGGGTCAGTTTCTGTTGTAGTAGGGGTCATTTTGTATTGTAGTAGGGGTCAGTTTCTGTTGTAGTAGGGGTCAGTTTCTGTTGTAGTAGGGGTCAGTTTCTGTTGTAGTAGGGGTCAGTCTGTTGTAGTAGTAGTAGTCAACCTCTATTGTACTAGAGGTCATCTCTGTTATAGTGTGTGGGGGGGAGGGGGGCAGTTTCTTTACGTGCTCCCAGAGGGGTCATTGAGTCCGTTTGACTAGGGAATCTGTACCTGACTTGAGGAAACGACCCCCCCCCCCCACGTGCCTGTCTGACCCCGCTAACGTCCCCAATAGCACCCACGGGAGTGTGAGCAAATGTCACGTGGTTGAGGTGCTAGGTCACGTGACCGCTGGACTGTGAGAACCGTGGCTCGCACTGCGCGTGTCAGCCACGTGTCAGTCATTATTGGTACGTGTCGCACATGCACATGCTAAGTAAACTATGTGAGAGAATCATTTGAATCCATCACTAAAGCTCCCAGCTACCAAACGACAGCTACAATGGATGACAGCTCCCAGCACAGGCTAGCATTGGGTTTTTACCTTCCACTGGCTCAAGCAAGGAAGACAAAAGCACATGTTGACTTTCGTCGACTTATAAAAAAGGATGTGATTGCTCTCGTCAAAATTGTAACCAGATGAAACTAGTCAAATAAAATAATTAGAATATTTTTGTCATTTTTTTTAAATGACCGTTCAATCGGAAGTGAAATTGGGCAATGGGGCTCTGGCCACACACACACATTATGTATGTTTATATATATATATATATATACATATATATATATATATATATATATATATATATATATATATATATATATATATATATATATATATATATATATGTATATGTTTATATATATATATAGATGCCAGTGTGTCTGGCCTCGCCACGAGCCAGCCTGGATGTGGGAACAGCTGGGAGCTCAGCTCTCGACTACCAACGCGCGAGCAGGCGCTTTGTTAATTTTCTCACTTTTTTTTTCTTCCAGCATCTCGTGCTGCCATCTGCTGGGCCTTCATTACCTCCTGGAAACTTTGCGCTAATTGCTCGTCTTTAGCACGTGTTCAGGTGCCGGTGAGTAAATTGTATTTCTGGGACCCAAGACTCGACCGTGTTTTGTTCACGCTTCTGGACGGTGTATTTTATTGAAAACTTTCAAAAGTTAGGAGTTTCATTCAACAAGTAACAAAAGCAACGTGTGCTCCAAAGTTTTAGAAAACTGTTTTTAAAAAGGTTTCGAGCAATTATTTTTCTTCATATGGTATGGTGGATATTTTGACCAGTGTTGTTCAAGGTAATTCGCCAGTTTGTGTGAGATGTCTGGACAGTTTGTGTGAGATGTCTGGACAGTTTGTGTGAGATGTCTAGACAGTTTGTGTGAGATGTCTGGACAGATGTCTAGACAGTTTGTGTGAGATGTCTAGACAGTTTGTGTGAGATGTCTGGACAGTTTGTGTGAGATGTCTGGACAGTTTGTGTGAGATGTCTGGACAGTTTGTGTGAGATGTCTGGACAGTTTGTGTGAGATGTCTGGACAGTTTGTGTGAGATGTCTGGACAGATGTCTGGTCAGTTTGTGTGAGATGTCCGGACAGATGTCTGGACAGTTTGTGTGAGATGTCTGGACAGATGTCTGGACAGTTTGTGTGAGATGTCTGGACAGTTTGTGTGAGATGTCTGGACAGTTTGTGTGAGATGTCTGGACAGATGTCTGGACAGTTTGTGTGAGATGTCTGGACAGTTTGTGTGAGATGTCTGGACAGTT